GATTCGGTGAGCTATCAGATTATAAGGAAAATTTATTCATTCGTTCCGAATCACATTGATGAGCTATATCAATCACACATTTCGAGTTCTAGGTGTTTGCGCACAATACGTTATTTTCACTTTATTTCAAGACAAATTTCACATCGCTAACTTTTTTCCATTGTCATGCATTTTTGATATGATTAATTTTTCTTGTTTCGTTTTCGGGATGATTTTTGCCATTGATAGATAGATATTAATGAATGAATACATTTCTTGCACACCAAATCCATAACCATCAACATGATGATTGTAATGAATGAATTTTTGTATTTTTGTTTTTCTTTTGTATGTCTAAAATTTGATTCATTCGGAATGGGAAAAATGGAAATCTAATGGACCGAGGAGTATATATGGTGAAACAACTACTACTCAAATTGAATGAATAAAAACTCGTTGTCCCAAGCGTATTATGAATGATTATTGGTTGTTTGGAAATGAATTATCTTTGCTACCATGATCATCATCATTGCAAATTCCAATTTCAACATACAATGAGTACGTGTGTTTGTCATATTGAGACGCTTAGTGCTTATCCATTTCAGTTTGTTGTTGTTTGGACTAATGTGGATGAATTGTCGAGAATCTAGAATCCACAGAATTGACCAACAAATCTGAAAAGGGAATGTTAATTGAACAGACGTTATCAACCACCATGGTCCATGATCATGAAATGATTGAATACAACTGAAAATATGGCCAATCAAAGAATTTGTCGTTTTTTCTACTCCTGTGGAGCGGAAAATATTCTCTCATCTCATTCGATAACATCCGAATAAAGACGGATCTTTCTTTGTGTGTGTGTGAAGAAGATAGATTTGCCCACATTCATCTCTGACGATAACATTGCCATGGCATTATATTTCATATTTTCGCCCATTTTTTCCAACATTCTTGACACACGCACACATTTTTTTCATTTTTTTCAAAAATAGACAAGCGAAATTGAACAAATAGGAAAAAGATCGGAGAAACAAGATTTGGCCATTATCGTCAAGGTGTGTGTATCTAGAGAGAGAGAGAGAGAGAGAGAATCGTTTTTCTTTTTTGGTTTTGAGACGGATTTTCTGTCTTTCATTTGGCCATTTTGAAGTGGCCTCCATAAAATATAATTGGATTCTATCCGATGATGATGATGATGATTATGATGAAGGTGTTTCTTGTATTTTCTCGGCAAATTTTTTGTTTTTTCCCCCAAGAGAAAGGTTACAATTTTCATGTGTTTTTTATAAAAAATTGCAATTTTTTAAATTTTTTGCTTTCACAGTTCTATACATCTGGCCAAATGAGAATTGATTTGATTTTCTGTGTTGCTGGTACGGACAAATATTTATTACCCAAGTCATTATTATTTCGGTAATGATGATGATGATGATGGAGCATGAAACAAATATGATAACCAGCAATGAATTGAATGATGATGATGATGATGACCATTATTGTTATAATCATAATGACACCATATCCTTTCTTTCATAGCATCGGGTCCATATTTTTGCTGTGTAAAAATGTTGAAATTTAGCAAACAAACGGTAAAAACCAAGTGCTGAATGCCTGCAGAATCGTACGCATGTCTAAATGTTTGGTTTACTAACGATGGCGGCGGGTATACATTTGTTTAGAATTCATCCATTCATTCATTCATTCATTCATTCATCGAGCAGATCCAGTTTCATTCAGACTCTCATAGTGTGTGTGCGTGTGTGTTTGAATGTTTCATTCAATTGATACGAGATTATATCTGCCGTAGGGATTTATTTCGACTCGATTGAATTTGTTTCATTTCATTTCAAAACCGATTTCACATCATATCCATTCACTATGTGTGTGTGTGTCTTGTGGCTGTCAAATTTTGTCCGACAACAACACAGTAGTATTGATGGCTTGCTCTGTTTATCATCACTCATTCATGAAATTGTTCTTTGGATAATTGTTGGATCATAGATGAAAAGTTTTCTTCAAAGCTTGCAATACCTGGTAGTTGTTTTTTTCTGTTCAATTACCATTAAAAGTTTGGTTGATCTGTCCATCATTTTTGTTTTTTTTATTTTTATTTTTTTTTCATTAAATTTTGTTCGCCTGTTTCAACAACTTTAGAGTTTAAGTTTTTCATCACACCAAGTTCAATTTGTTCGAGTGTCCTCGAAACTGGAATTGTTATCTGTATGAGGCAACAATTTTTTAATTAAATTGAATGAAATTTTGGCGGCAGTGAAGAATGAATTATCATGTTTCAGTGATTTACTTTGACAAACTTGATCCAATCACATGTGTGGTTCTGTTTGCGCATGTTTTCATTAACTAATGTTTTAATCTTTGTGTCAATCCATGTGCAAATGTGAATCATCATGATGAACTATACACCAAACAAGGATTCTTTATCCACCAGCAAAGATACTTGCACTTGTAGTAATGATGATGACAATCGACAAAGCATCACCGTGACAATAGCAAACGATATGGCCACAAACGACCAAATGTCAAATCGTCAATCATTCATCATTCACCTCGAGGATGAGAAAGCCAATCGAATGGCCACCATATTGGATACGGATATTCACTATGGTTCAACCAGTAACGATAGTCAACAAAAACGAAACGTAATCAATCTTGACCTTGGTTGTTTGATTATAAACCATTTTTCTAGTCACAGTCAGATTTTTGGTGTATGTGTGAAATTGAATCATAACAATTTCGAAGATTGTTTGCTCATCCAAAACATAATAAAATGGGTGGCCAGATGTTTTCTGTTCATTTTTATCTTGCTAAAGATTTTCATGTTCGCCATTGAGTCAAGTGATGATACAATTATTCAGCCAGCAAGTCTAAGCTGTGAATTGATGATTTTGAGAATTTTGTTGGAATTTATTTTAATGAATTCTTTCTGGTAATTTGGTGATTAGAATGTAAAGTTGGTTTTTCTTATAACAAACTGGGCAAACTTTTTTTTGTTTTCAGTTCCCCAATGGCAAACAATAAGAATGATGCCAACAAAATCACATGCTAATTAGTTGATTGACTCGGACTCAAAACATATGTCGAAAACGAAATGCCAATGTATAGCGAGTATTTTCAATTCAATTCGACTTGGTTTTCGATATTTGAACCCATTTTTTTTGTTGGCGTTATTTGATCACCACATTGATTTCAAAACATGTGTTTTAATTGATGATTATTATGGGAAACCATTTGTTCACTAATTTCACAAACATGACAAACATAAACACACGATCACACTCATCATCGATCGATCTTGTGTGTTTGTTTTTGTATCAGCATTCAGCATTCAGCAATATATCCTAAGGTGGTTTTTGATTTTGATTCACAAAGTCCATATTTACTCATCCATTGTCATTTGACTTTTCATGTAAATGTGTGATGACGATTCTTTAGCCAGATAATTTCCGTTGAACCAAATGCAGATTGTTTGGTCGAATGAATCGTTTGGCAATGTGAAACCTGAATACATTGCTTTCTCAACTGAGAATCGAATTTAATGAAGTGAATTGGAGAAAACGATTTGCTTGATGTGTGTGTATGTGTGTGGTGGTTGGTTTTTCAGTCTCACACTCATTCAATTCGTCATGTTTATGAATGGTTCGTTTGCTTCTACCGTAATGATGATGATGATATGTCTGCATTTCGATTGGAATTGAATTAAATTGTTTCGAACGAATGAATCCGTCATCATCGTCAACATTTGCCGATGATGATGTTTTCCATGTATGAATTGAGATTCATTCACATTCATTGATTTGTTTATTTATTGTTTACTTGCACAATTCCACTTTTTCTGTCTCTATATGTATTTATTCTCAGAATTTCTTGTTTTCCGAAAAATAATTCAGATGCATTGGAATGAGTTTCAATCTTTAGAACCGGAATCGGATGTCAAAGCATGTGCAACATGATAAGTGATTGATGCGTTATGACATTTTTCACATGTTTGGTTGATTGTAGAATAAAGATTTATTAATTTATTTATAATAAATGATGAATGAATAAATGAATGAAAATCAAGTTGTAATGATATATGATCCAGATGATTGTCTACTTGTCTACATGAAAGAGATTTTATTATTGGATTGTTCCAAAGTTCTCAATGTGTTTGTCATGTGTATGAGGCAGAATTTTTATTTCAATCATATCACGTACATGCCTGTTTTTTCTCTGGATTTCATAAACAAATGTGTAAATGAAGATGTTGATGATAGTATATGTACTCAAAAACGAGAGATAAGCAAGTTAATTGATGGCAATAATCATCATCATCATTAATAGATTTATATGATGATGATGATATGATGACTGTCCATTGTCACTATGGTTGCCGCACTACTGAAATATCTAAAAATACTTTCTTTTTGGGTAGAAATAGTTTTTTTTGAGTCTATGTAAGGAAACGTGTTGAAAGAAAAAGTTCGATTACTCGATATTACTATTAGCTATATTGTGAATTTTTTATGTGATCCATTTTTTTGTGGTAAAATTCATGTCTTGGTTGCGTGGAGTCACATATGGTTGACAATGTTTAACAATACCGAGGCATCCATTGTGTCTTGGCCAATTGAATTGAACGGATGTTTGTGTATCATGATGATGATGATCATGGTGGAAAATGAGAAAATTTCCGAGATGAAGTAAATTTCTAACAAAATAAAATTGGAAACACACACCCAGGCAACAAAAATGATTGTTTGAGTGAAATGCCAGCCATTATCAGTGATCACTTTGGTGATGGATAAGATTTCAATGAATCTTACCTGTATCCACAATGGTGATATCATCAACTGTCATCAATCAACAGTCATCTTGAGTTTTGTTAATTTTATGAGTTTATAATTTTGGTTTCATTTTGAGTGTGATGTTCTGTGACCATTGTAAACCATTGTTTTTTTCTTTTCTTCTCCTCTGTCTATACTAATGTGTAATGATTTGTTTTCATTTGTTTGTTGATTTAGACATCATCTTCAGTGAACAGCGATTGTTTTAGTGTTACACCAATACCATCGCCATCAGCATCATTATCGCCTTCGAATACGATATACAAAATGGCCGCAACCGAAATCTGTATCAATATGCAAGCTGGTTTGGTCAAAGATTTGGTCAAAGTGGATACAGCCGAATTGACATTAAAAACATTGAAAGAATATGCTTGCAACTTTATCGACCGAAAGGTAGGTTTTGATTCCAGAACAATACAATTGATGCCACAGTTAACAATTGGTTCGGTTTGTTTTCCTTTTTGGAAACATTTTGTCATGACGTTATGAACGTAGTAATCATCATCATCATCATCATCATTTCATTATTATTATTAGTGCCAGTTAGAAATCGATTGTTTTTGACTATCGATCGTTATATCTCTTGAGAATGATAGTCCTATTGATGATGAGGAAGACATTGGCATAAAGTTAATCGTTAATCGAATGAATCGATCAAAACTAAATTCAATCATGCATACTATACTGTTGATCAAATCAAACTTTGTTTGGTTAAACACGTACTGCTTTTCATCATATTCACTTGAATCAGTGTAGAATGAATAAATGAATTTAAAATCATCTCTATATCATGATCATGCTCTTCATTTTATTATTTGTTCGATTCGAATCGATGAAAAACAAGTTACCAACAAATGTATACAAACGTACAACGTGACAATAATATTTGTCTATGCAAATGTCGTAATATTCACATCTCATCTTTTCTATAGAAAAACATTTTTTTTTATTCATCCTGACACTCTCGATCAGTTTTTTTCAAGTTTTTAGGTCGAATGTCATCATTTTATCGTCATTCGGTAAACATTGAACCGTGTTTAGGTCATGCCTTTTCTGTTGATCATGCATATTTGATGGCTCGATGGCAATAAAGAAAAAAAAACTAAACGAAATTTATACAAACATTGGTCTATAGTTTGTTGCTGTCGTCATCATCATCATCGCCAGAATATTCAATGATGATGAATTGACGTAGGCACACACACACACACAGACACAAAAGAATTGACAAAATTCTTTTCCGAGCCATTCATGCACATTGTTCGAGATAATATCGAAATGAATAAATAAAGAAAACTTGTACGAAAAAAACTTGTTCTGCATAGAATTATTCATTACATCACGTTAATATTTATAGTACGACCAAATGGAACAAAAGATTCTCACTGAAACAACAACAACAACAACAACGATGATGCTAATGGTGCAATTCTTTCTCTGTTGTTGTTGTTGTTATTTATTTACTTGTTTGATCTGCTATCAATGTGTGCAATGTTTGAAATTTTAATCCCTAAGGCCATTCAAATTTCATTAAATTGAATTGAATATTTACTTTTTTCGGTTATAAAAGTTTGTTTCTTTTTTCCGAAAACTTTCCCTCGCCCATTCCATCAGGATAAAACTATTGGTTCTGGACCTAATTCTCTCTCTCTAGACAATTTGGAATTTAAATTTTACCTTCTTGAATTTGGCCACTTTCTCATCAGTGAAGCGATTGTATCCATCAATGTCTATAAAGAGCGAAACTAAGGAATTCATATCGTTGCAGGACAATTTTTTCCGTTTTTCGAAATTGGCTATTTGGTTTTTTCGATAAAAGTGGTTCATTATTTGTTGTTGGTTGTATCCAATGATGGAAAATCAATGACAATTCCATTCTGTCCATTAGCTTTCAACCCAGACCTTGTACATGACATGGAATTGTTGTTGTTTTGTTATGTTTTTTTTTATGGATTTGTCATCATTATTTGGACCGGAATCCTTTTTTCTTTTTCACAATAAATCACTAGAATCACAATTCCCATTTGGTTCATTCATTCATTCGCAAATGACGTGACTTACGGGAATGAAACTCTTAATTTGTTGTATTTGTTGTTGGTCATAAATAGCCACTGTCGAGAGTTTTTCTTTAAAACATTTGTGTTTTATTCGTTATTACTATTGTTACACAGTAATAATGAATGCAAATAAATAATGCATGTCCACATATTATGTACATGATGGCCATCCACGAAACAAACCGTTATGATTTAGATAGCCAGATTTCAGCAATTTAATTTAACCAAAAGCAAATTCCGAAAACAATTTCCTGTGTTACCCAGTCGACCGAAATCGGTAGTGAAATCTAATCAAATCAAATCAAATCAAAATGAAGATGAAAAAAATTTTGACATTTTTACGCTCGCCATTCAAACGAAGCGCAGTATCCTGGGCTATGAAAATTTAATGAAAATTTCGTGTCGATTATCTACACTCACACACGCACACAATTCAGCAGCAACGAAAAAGGGTTGAATCATTTTGAAGATGTTTTGAAGTAGACAATGTACGTGGGTTTGTACAGTTTCAATTTGAATTTGAATTTCATTAATGGCAGTGGATTTAGATGTTTAGATGACTGAAATTTATACAGAAAATACATAATTCCGTTCTATGTGCGTCTGAGAATCATGAATAAATGTTGCCTGTAGTTCTTTGGAATTATTTTCCTTGTGATTTGGGTCTTTTTTCATTGTTTAAATTCCATAGAACTAGGGCGAATTTGTTTTCATTATGGAATAGACATGCACATAGACTTTATGTCTTAGAGGGTAAGAATATTCATGGTTGGAATCGAATGTTTAAGAAACAGCATTTCATGACAGCTTATCATTAGGAATATGAATTATTTCCTATGGGCGTTTTATTCTGATCCTGGTGTGTTGATCGGATCGAATTTCAAATTGATGATTAATTGGTAAAATATGGTGTATCAAGGAAAGAACAAATGTTTTATTTTTTCTCGATTAATGATGTCTTTCACAGCCATCCAACTTGCAGTGTGTGGATTGTTAATAATTGATATTCTTATTTTTATTTTTTTTTTTTCATTTCAGTTTCCCGATCATGGTCTGAATCGGCTAACCGAACGTTTACTATTGTTTCGTCATGATTATAGTTCGAAAAATCTTTTATTGCCAATCAATGTCGTATCGGAAATCACCGAAGGTTCGCTCATCGAGATTGTTGTCTCAGGTAAGGTTTGAACAAGCTAAACATTGGCAGTGATTTTGGTTTGTTTATTCAAATTTTCATAAATCAATTCATCAGTCAGGTGTTTGTGATTGACGTCGAGGCTGACGTTCAGTTCATTGGAATGTATAAATTTAATTTAATTGCCTAGGTTACGATTAGTTATCGATGATTTGCTTGCTGTCTGCTGATAGGATTATGTGTGTTGGTTATGTGTGAAATATGCAATGTTATCCTCACAGTTTACTATTGATTAGATACATGATAAGTGAATTATTTTATTTTAGCCATTGAACTAATCAATTTCCGTTTTATCAATGTCACACCACATCCACAAATAGCCAATCCACCATCAGATACGGTCCAGATACGTCGACATTCATTATTGATACATTCATACAAATCGCCAACATTTTGTGATTTCTGTGGCGAAATGTTGTTTGGTCTGTTTCACCAAGGTCTCAAATGCGAAGGCTGTGGCCTCAATTATCACAAACGTTGTGCATACAAGATTCCAAACAATTGTTCATATGGCCGACGACGCCGTTCATCAACTTATCTGCCCTTACCCAACAGTCCCAATGGAACGAATGGCATCATGATGGCCACTTGTTCTCCATCACCGTCAACACCATCGATTGGTTATGTCAGTCAATTATCATCGGCAACCATGTCAACCATGTCTACCGTTTCGGAACAGAGTTACATCGACATTCAACGAACAGCATCCTCATCTGGTTCATTGTCCACAAATGATGTGAAGGTTAGTTTCACATTTTATATTTGTAAAAAATTGTCATCCAATAATTGAAATACTCATGCTCCTCTCTGCATGGCAAACAAACAAACAGACAAACATACAAACAGCCCGATATTTGATTGCTTTTGCAATGATGATCAATCAGAAAATAAATATAACACACACACACACACACACACACACACATTGCCCATTCATTCATCATTACATTGACATATTGCCATTGTCAGCAAATAGAAAATGAGAAATTGTCCCCATTCTAGTCAATTTGAGTCGTTTCTCCAGCAATTCACTGCCAAGTGAAATGTTGGTTATTCAATTAGAATTTATTCAATTTCATTTGAATCGAGAGCCGTGCTTGGTTTGACTTTGGCCAAAGGTGATGTTCAACTTTCGTCTTTGTGAATCACCAGACTGCGTCATTGGGTTAATCTTCTTTATTTGGATTAAATTTTATTCCATTAGATTTTGTTGTCTTAGTTTTATATTCACCATGTGTGTTATTGCTTGAATGAGCCAGTTCCGGACGCACATTCTCCATAAGATCATTATTGAATTAGAATTTCCATTAAATAACATTTCGCGAAACGGAAACGTTTTCGATAAAAGGCTTTCCACAATGAACAGTAGACGTTGGAATTGTGTAACCACCATAAACTTGGTATAATCAGAATCATGAATGATTCTAGATTCGCTTTGAACACAGAAATCATTCATTCATTCATTCAAATTACAGTGTTAGTTTCCAATGATCAATTATGATAGATCATGATGAATGCAAGCCACCACGCACTATTTGAATGGCAACAACACATGCATCGATTGCAGCAACAGCAGCAGTCTACATTGATATCTCTCACCTTCAAGGTAAATCACTTTTCGTCAAAATCGTCTTGTTGTTTTCATTGTTTAACGATTTTCTCTCATTCTGCGTGTGTTTGTGCGTCTCTCTCTCTCTCACTCTCTCTTGTTGTAGCCATTGGATTGATTGTTGGGTTTTCACATGGCTAATGTTCCAAGATTTATTTGTTGCCAAAAGCAATGACAGTGGCATTGTTGAGTGTTTGTTTGTGTGTGTGATTTGATGACTTTGATGGCTGTAACAATTTAAATTTAATTTTTAAAAATCAACGAATATGATCTCGGATTCATGTGCTTGCCAAACGTATTCGTCTCTCCACATTCGGCTGATCATTTTTGTCATTCTTTTTTCAAGTTTCAAGCAGTAGTTTTTTGTTAAACTGTGTGTGTGTGTGTGTGTGTGTGTGTGTGTGTTCGATATCATTCTTGTAATGTCCGATTGGTCCGTGTGGCCAAATGATCATTTCAGACAAATAATTTTAATAAAACAACAACTTGGACCCTTGAGCTTGAACCACGATCCGATCTGTAGTGCGTTAATAGTTGTGATTGTATTGAATTTTCATGTGAAAATCTAAATATCTTCTTGATTGATTGATTGGATTTGAACATCACACATCTCTCCAGTTGTTATCGTAAAAATCAAATTCATCATATGGAATGTTCATCAAGATTGGACAGGCAAGTCTTGTTTTACATCCCAACTTGGAAAATGCGTGTGTATGTGTTCTTTTTCCGTTCAATTCAATGTCAATCGATTAGCAAATGGCCATTAGCCTTGCATGCTTGAATGGGCAATTTCCTTGAAATGCAATGTTGAGCCAATCGGTTAGTTGATGATTGCCGAGCATGATTGATTCCGTTTTGGGAATTCTCTTGGCGACAATCAATTTCAATTGAATGAACCACTTTATTCATGATTAATGTTTTGTTTGTTTCCTTCCTTTTACTAAAGTAAACTCACGTACTTGGCTTTGTAGGTTGCATGGAAAAATTTCAAATTCTTTAAAATGTGTGTTGTTGTTATCGTGTGTGTGTGTGTGTGTGTGTGTGTGTGTGTGTGTGATTCGTCGTTTTCAATTATTTAGTTTTCATGAAATTCGAGAAACAAGAAAAACAAAAATGTCGCGTTGACCAGTCTTGTTCATAATAAAGTTGAGCCAATCGTTTTTGTTTCATTACATTTTAGTGGATGAAAAGAAAAAATCTAGGTATACATGGAATTCATCCGATTTGATTGTAGAACAAACACAAGTCTGGGTTATAAATTTTGTTGCGTGACTCGATTGTGTGATGAAAATGGAAAAAAAAATTTTGCTCGCATGATCCATGATCATGATGAGGCAATGTCATGAATGTGTGTATATATCTAATGTAATAAACATTACAACTTTACGAATGTGACATACTAAGTGAAATTACCAGAATCAGACAGTTGAGATTTCAATTGTTGTCATTTCTTACTAATTAGTTAAATGGTGTTTTCTATTTTCTATTCCTTTCCCACCTTGTGTTGGTGACAGTTTTTGTCGGCTTCCACATCACCGATTCGTGAAAGATGTCGACAGCTTTCGAATTCGACCATTTGTTCCAATACATCGACATCGACGATCATGACCACTGGTACTGGCGGCGGTGGTCTATCCTCCAGTCTCGATAGTAGCTCAGGTGGATTGAACGGAACTGTAAGCGTTTCTGGACGACCAGCCTGGGTGGATAAAAAATTTGCCGAACGCATACGTGTGCCTCACACGTTTGTGGTGCACACATATGCAATACCTACCGTTTGTCAGCATTGCCGAAAATTGCTCAAAGGCTTCTATCGACAAGGATATCAGTGTAAAGATTGTAAATTCAATACACATAGAAAATGCATGGAAAAAGTGCCACAAGATTGTGCAGGTGAAGCGCCCAAAGAATGGGAAATGGAACAATCAAATCAAATCGATGATTATTTGGATAAAAATCAAATTGATTCCGACAATGAAGATCATGGATCATCCAACGACAATAAAACTGTATCAAACAATAAAAAAGGGACAAATTATGATTCCAACGATTCGAAAGATGATGAAGATAATAGCATCGATTTGAATGCCCAAAACAACAACAATAACAACAACAACAACAACAACAATAATAACAATAACAATAAACAACGCAATTGCAAAGGACAAACCGATGATGATGATGACGATGATCACGATAATCATCGCCAACAGCAACATGCCAATAACAATAGTGGCAGTGACGATGACAATCATAAAATCAATCGAATCGTCAGGTATGTCTTGTGTAGTCGTCTTTACATGTATCATGCCATTACTTTTACTGTAATGTAATGGTCACTCTTGACACATACACACACTCATATACACAGAAAATGGATTTATTGAATTAATCACAATTTCGATAAATAATAGCAGTGTTGAAAATTGAAAATCCAAATCAAAATTGCCTTCGCAGCACTACGAGACGGACACAACATTCAATTCGATTCGAATCGAATGTTGAGACATAGAAAAAGGATGAGAATCCAATTGCGAAACAATAATTTGGTTCACTGAGTTGTTGTTGTTGTTGTTGTCGAAATCCATTTATTGTTTGTCCGATTATTTGCTCTAATTATTATCATTTCCAACAGTTTACTTAAATTATAAGCTGGCAAGCAAACATTCAAGTACTCAGATGTGCTATTTTCAATCGAATAATTGCACTGAAAGTAATTTTTCATCATATTAACTTACACACACACACACACATTGACACAAATGACTACATTGATTGAGTGAATTAATTTTATTCTTCTTCATTTGGAAATTCTTAGCGAAACCAGTAGTAGCAATATACCATTGATGCGTATTGTGCAGAGTGTTAAGCACATAAAACGTCGTCCATCAAAAGTGTTAAAGGAAGGATGGATCGTTCATTACACCGATAAAGACCGTACGGTATGTTGTTCATTTTCATTTTGTATTGAATGATGATTGTGACCATTACGCATTTAGAAACGCAATCATTACTGGCGTTTGGATACCAAGGGTATCACCATGTTTCAGAATGAATCGACGGCCAAATATTATAAAGAGATACCGTTACAAGATATATTACATATCGATTCAGACAAGTGTTCATTACCCGATGATCATCAATCATCGACAACCATGGGTTATAAATTTGAGCTTAAAACACAGAATGTGACCTACTTTGTATGTGAACCAGATGATGAACGATCACGGTCATGGGAACTGGCCATACGACAAGGTTTGATGCCTGTCCTGTCGCCGAACGAGAATGGTTCGATGGTTGATTCAAAACAACAACAGACCAAGCATTCGAATCAATCAAGCGCACAAACACATGGCAATCACGGTAGCGGTGGTCATGCCTTGACCATAGCCACTAATGATGAGAATCGTAATCAGAACGCGGACATTTCTCAGCAATATCAGATCATTATCGATGAAATGTTGGGTGCTGGCCAATTCGGCACCGTTTATGGGGGAGTACATCGTACTAGTCGGCGAGAAGTGGCCATCAAAGTGATCGATAAACGTCGTTTTCCGACCAAACAAGAAGCACAGCTCAAAAATGAAGTATCCATTTTGCAAACGATTTCACATCCGGGCGTAGTGCATCTGGAGAAAATGTTTGAAAACCATGAACGAATATTCGTCATCATGGAGAAATTGAGTGGCGATATGCTTGAAATGATTCTTAGCGGTGAGAATGGCCGTCTCAACGAACGAGTTACCAAATTTCTCATCTATCAGGTATGGACATCAATCATCTCCTTGATATATATTGATCCAGTCATTGTGATGTTTGTTTGTAGATTCTTGTGGCACTTCGTTATCTTCATGCACAAAACATTTGTCACTGTGATCTTAAACCGGAAAATGTTTTGCTTTCATCAAACAGCAGCTTTCCACAGGTATGTGATCCATTTCATCACTTGTAACTTGTAACAATCACTTGATTATGGCTAGGTTAAATTATGCGATTTTGGATTCGCCCGTATTATTGGTGAGAAATCGTTTCGTCGTAGTGTGGTCGGAACACCGGCCTATCTAGCTCCCGAAGTGCTTCGAAACAAGGGCTACAATCGTTCATTGGGTAAGTCGTCAGAATGGTTTTATGGTTGATTTATTTTAATTTGGCTTCACTCAGATATGTGGTCGGTTGGTGTCATAATCTATGTGAGTCTTTCCGGCACATTCCCGTTCAATGAAGAAGAAGACATTCAAGATCAGATTACTAATGCTGCTTTCATGTAGTACGTACTTCTACGTAGTAGTATTGTTGTTTCCTTTTAATTCGTTTAATTCGTGTTCACGCTAATCGAATTCTCTTGTCGTTTGTTTTTTATCCATGTTCTGTTTGTTTGTTGATTTGCAATGGATCATATACATCATATACATGAATATTATACATTAATAGCCCGCCTGATATTTGGAGAGACATATCACCTAAAGCGATTGATCTCATCGGCAATTTACTACAAGTGAAAAGTCGCAAACGTTACACGGTGGATAAATCATTAGCTCATCCATGGCTAGATGTAAGTTTTTCAGTCTATTTCTCCAATGATTGGCCAGCTCACTCTTTTCTCTGTTGCAGGATTATTATGTTTGGTGTGATCTACGGCGATTAGAGAAACAAACGTCAACAAGATGGCTTACACATGAATCGGACGAAGAACGTTGGGAGCAATATAGACTCAAACAAAGAATGCCAGAGAATGATTTTGGTCCGATCATTACGGGTCATCATGATGATGATGATGATGATGATGTCGATACACCGAATGAAGAAGAGAATCGTGATAAATTCATCACAATCACCAACACTGATTCATTCAGACGACGTACTAATTACAGCAGCAGCAGCAACAGCAACAATAATAATAACAACAATGGCAAGGATTATGGCCACCAGCATCAGCATCACCATCCCCGCCATCATCATCATCACAATCCGAATAAATCGAATGGCAATGGACATGCATTTAACCACAATAATGCCATCATTATCAACAACAATAATAATGATGATTCGACAGCCAATTTGGAACAGATTTATAACAGCAAAAGTAACACGACCAGCCGTTTGTGATTCATTCATATTCATCATTTCAGACAAGCAATTATAAATCTAAAAGATATTCTTATTCATATTTATATTGGTTCAATTGTTTTTTCTCATTTCTGCTGCTTCATTTTATCGAATTTTTGTAACGTGCCTCAAATAAAAATGAACTCGAGATAACGAATTTACAATTTTACAATTTTCCAGGTTTTTATTGTGCATTTATTCATCATTCAAATTTATTTCTTTAATTTCAATTGATGAATGAATCATTTTTTCACAATTTCAAATCGAGCCGTCGAGTTATGGCGGAAATGTGTTTTTTGACCATTCTGATAAAAGTTGTTGATACGCAACATTCTGATACAATAATTCAGGCCGGTTGATATGATGGTTGTGAAGATGTCATCTGCGATGGCTGCTGTACATGTATATCGACCGATGGCGCATTGGTTGGACGTCGTATGCAGAATTCAAGTGGAATCAAACAACAAAGGAAGCCCCAACAACCACAACAACAACACAAACTGCATGGTAAGATCAATATCGTCAACGGTAATAATAACCATTTCCAGTTCTGAATAATGTCTAGCCAAATTATAGCATCTAGAATGGAAAAATAACCCAAAGTTAATGATATATAAGGAGTGTGTGAAAAAAACATACCGTTGTTAATGAAGTTGGACATTAATTTGTATTGAACCATACATTTATTCGATTCATCACAGCTGTTGAGATGACCACCATCCTTGCTGATAACGTTATCTATCCAGAATATATGATTGGGCGTGATGACAAACAGTAAAGTTTCGCGAACAAAGCCGGTTATGATATCTTCACCCAAGAATGGGCTCTCTTCTAATGTCGTATTGGATGCAAGTGTTTTGGAAAATACCTGATATGTGGTGTTTCCATTGCTTGAGTTGGATATGAATTTATACGATCCACTATCCTTAGCGATTATTGTATTACGTGACTTTTCATAGAAAACCAAGATGATAACCATTTCCGAATTTAGTGAATAATCCGTATTGATGGCCAAGAACGTATATTTTTGATCGGTCGACATGAACACTGTTCTGTTTGTGGCCGTCGCTTCAAACGTGCCATTCGTATCGTGGATAGGGTTGCCGCCAAACCTATTGAAAGTATTAACCGGAGAGAATATTCGCAATCGAAACCTAGGCGGATGAATGGCTGTCCAATAGGCCAATAAATAGTGGTGATTATCATCATCATCATCATGATTGGTGAGCATTGTGACTACTCGGGCTATATTTCCCTGTTCATTAGGTCGAAGGACATTAGATTGTTGTGATTTGATCAACTTGGACAATTTCGGATAATGATACCACAATGATTCAACTTGAAGATAATGGGACGATTTTTCTCTGGGAAAATACAAATTGAATTCCGAATCACTCATATAGACTTTATACACCTTTCGGCTATAGGTAACCAAAATAAGCAACAAAAAGCCATGAGAATCATATTGCGGATTTGAAGTAACCAGATTGAAATTGGAAAGCTCCAGAGTTGTATTGGTGAAGAGAAAGCGGCGTCGTTCGGCATGTACAAGCAGCACACATTGAGCCAATGTGAGCAGAGTAATGGTTGGTACAATAATCATCATAATCGAATCGTTCAAAGTAGAGAGAAAGACCAACATTCATGATTTATATAAGAAACAGAATGAATTATTTATTTTATTAAATAATAAACCACAATGAAATAATTCAATCAATTCCAACATTCGAATTGGGTCATTCATGCATCATCAAGATTGTATGGTTTTCTCATCGACCAATGGTTAAAAACTAGGGTTGTCAACGGAATTTGTTACAAATAAATAGGTAATTACATACATCACACAACACGATTCAGCCGAGTATTATCAAACAAATAAAATTCACTACTACATGCAAGTATGTCATTAGGCCAGATACAAACGATGGAAATCGTTGGCCGAGAAGGATTGGTTGCATTTAGGACATTTCCGTTGTCGGGTTTCATATCGCGTCTTGAGACAATCATAGCAAAAGACGTGAAAACATTTGTTGAGCACGGCATCCTTGCGTTTCGTTTTGCATGATGGACAGGTTAGCTCCTCTCTTAATTCACGAATCTCCTCCTGGCAAACGATAAATTCAAAGTGTATAGTAATGTAAACAATCAATCAACAACACATACCTGTAGCACTTCGTCGGCGGTGGCAGCCAATTCGAATTTCTTGGCCCGTTCATATTTCCGTTTGTACATGATGACTTCTTCGTGTAAACGTTTCGTTTTGAATGTTTCCTGCTGCCATGCTGACGTTTTATCTGCAACGATCGATTGTGCATCCTTTATCTGAGCCACATACTTGTCCAGATGAAGTTTGAGATCGGCCGCCGATTGCGAACTTTCTAGCGCTTTTCGTTTGAGAAAATCCATTGCCTGCTGTCGAACGGTCAATTCTTTTTCGGCTGTCGACAGGCTATTCTGTAGAATACGTTCACGTTCCTCTAACTTTCGAACGACCTGATTCTGTGCTTCAATTTGTTGCTACGGGCAAAGATAGATTAGAATATTATTAATTAATTGAAAAAATGTCTACCTGTAGTGTGACAATCTGCTCGGTGAGATGTTCCTTTTCCTCTTTGAGCATCTTATGTATCTGGTTCGCTTTAATGCGGTCTGACATGAGCTTGAAATTGGCATCATCCTTCTCTCTCAGCTGTTGAATGAGACGGCAATTCTGTTCCTGCATATCTTCGAATGCCTGTCCGGTAACTTCCATTTCGTTGAGCAACGCCTGTTCCTGTTGTTTATGAGCGGCCACATTTTTCTGTAAATCACGTATGATATCCTCGTATTTGGTCATCTTTTTATGTTCATCGTCTGTGAGACTTTTCTGTGATCCAGAACTGCTGCTGCTACAAGAGAATCGACGTTCCTTATCGGAACGTTTGGCTGATGATGAACAATCTTCGAGTAATTTTTTATTTTGCTGTCGTAATTCTTCCAATTCTAGTCTCATTTTCTTCTCCGTTGCCATGAGCTGTGCTTTTTCCCTGTCAATGAATCAATGAATGAGTTTGAAATTCTAAGATCAAGAAAGCTTACCTTTTCTCTTTGTCCACTGATTTGAACATGTCGAGAAGAATTTTCAGCTCACGTTGTGATTCCCAGGATTTTTTCAACTGTCCTTTTAGCTCTCGGATTGTATCCGCTTCAGATTTACGATTCATTGACGATGGTAGGCCTCTTTGCTGCTGTGAATGGTTACCAGTGGCACTTATCTGACCACTTGATGAAGAATGCGGCTGTGGTATCTGGCCATGACCATCAGCTTGATTCACTGCAATGGAGCCATCCATACTGGACGAAGATTCCAAACAGTCCAGATTGGGAGATTCTTTCTTCACCATCGTCGATAAAGTTGACGGTGGGGGTGGTGTAGTATTTGATGATGATTCAGATTTAACAATGCGTTTACCATGATCTTCGGATGAGGATTCGGCTGCCATGGCCGTTATCGACGATGAGGATGGCTCAGTTTTGATATCGGTGGATGATGATGATGAAGAATCGGAACATGTGGTTGACGATTCAGTCTTTGGCTGTTGCTGCTGCTGTTGTTGTTGTTGGCTGGCTGAATTGCAACAATCGACCGTACACGTAGTGGACCAGGCCCCATTATCGACTGGGCGATTCTGTGATGATGTGTTGGATGATGGAAGTAGGATGCCGCCACAGCAGACTTTCAGATTATTCTGTTCGATAATCTGTTTGAGGCGACCAATCTCGACATTCGATTCTTTCAAACGTTTCTTGATGCGAGCATTCTCACCCTTTAACTGTTGAGTATGGTTCTGCAACGAAGTGATCAGATGACGCATCTCTCGATTGATCGGACCGGTTTGTTCGTTGGCAGCGAGTGTTTGTTCAAATTCGAGCCGTAACATTTCGTATTCCTTACGTACTTGATTCAACGAATCTTCCAGCTGCATGCATTCATTGCGAAGCCGTTTCTGCATGGTAAGTTCTTCGGCTTCCATCTGTTCGATTTGTCGCATATGAACGTTTTTGGCGGCCGATAACTGTTGTCGACATTCTTCAAGTTGTGTTTTCAACGACATTGATTCGTTGAACAGAACGGAAAAATGCGACTGTAGTGACTTGTATTCGGCCGAATCTTTGATGACAACCTCGGGCAAACACTGTAAATCGATTTTGTACTTTTCCACCAGTTTCAATGTCTCTTTGTGTTCATTGTTTAGCTGTTCAAGTTCGACAAGCCTAGATTGAGCCTGTTCTCGTTGTTCTTCTAGTTCACGTTTTAGATCTTCGATTTTCGTTGATGACATTGTGGAAAGAGCGTCCTGTTTGCTCGAATCATTGGATGCAGTGGCCGATCCAGAAGAACCAGCATTCTGGCTATTCTGCAGACATCGAAGCTTTTCCCTGGCTTCGTACAAATGGTCCTCGAGACGTTGTTCCCGGGTTCTGGATTTATTCAATTCAAATTCTAATTCATCGACACGATTCTTGAGCTCGTCCAGCTGCATATCCTTTGAATCAAGTCTGTCTTTTGCTTGCTGATACTTTAGGCTAATGGTACGATTTTTTTCATGCAACGACGTGACCATCAGATTAAGATTTTTATTCTCAATGGTGAGCTCTTCGTTCAGTTGCCGTACCTTTTCGTCGAGGTTCACTTTGGCAGCATGTTTTCGTTTGCGATTTGTTCTACTCGATTTACTTGTAGCCATATCATCATCATCATCATCATCGTCATCAAGATTATCATCACGATCTGGCGATTTGATCGTGTCAGGTTCATCGGATCTGCCATCGTCGTCATCATCATCGGCCAGCATCGAACTTCGATTCAATGCGGCCATAACTTTTTCATTGAGTTGCACAATACGATCAAATTCTTGTAATACTTTTGATACGGCCCTAGTAGAGAGCAATACTCGTTGCTGCATTTGCTCGTCCAATTCTTCTTTGTCCAGGTTGGCTAATTGTCGAACAAAACTGGTCGTCTCGGCATTTTCATTACGACGGTGACGACCATCGTTTGAATCATCTTCGTCGCCATCATCATCATCATCATCATCGTCATCATGGTCATCATCATTGGATTCGTCGTTCGGTTTGGTTGATTGATTGCCATTCGAGCCACTAGAATCATTCGATGCGTTTGGATCGAAACGTTGCAACAGGAGACGCATATCTTCGTTTAGCTGGTTCCAATATCGATTTATCACATACAGTTTAGTGTCATCGTTTAATTGTTTTTTCTCCATCTGTTCAAGACGAGCACGAAGCTCTGATTCGACACGTTGTCGATGTTTGATTCGTTCGGTAAGACGACGATTTTGGACTCGAAGCAACTGAAACAACAACAACAACAAACAATCAGATTAATACACATCATAACATACATGACATTATCTTACCCCAATATCGAGATCATCTTGAGATGAAGCAACAAACTTTACATCGAAATCAATGTCCATTTTGGAACGTTTTTTAGTCGGCGTTTGGTTACCATTACCACCGGCACTGTTGTTTGTATCGGCGGCAGAATGGCATGAACGTTTCGAACCGATTGTCGCCATTCTCTCTCAAAATCGATGATTCGTATGTAATATGTGTCAGTGATGATAAATATGGAACATTGGTCAGAATCGCGTATGAATGTATTTCGAGACAATGGATAACTATGTCCAGTGGTCGCCCAACATAGCTCATGAGCAAACAAATTGATTCAGTGCAAGCCTTTCATAAACATCGTATTCATTGGGCAATTATTTGGTTGTCTTTACATGCGGTTTTTCTTCTTACACAACTTGTCAATTGAAACAATTTTGTCCTTTTGGAATATTTAACTTTTCGTTTCAACACGACAATGGTTTCGACTGCTGATCCAGAATTGACGAAAGCATTTCAAGAGCTACAGATTCAGGTGCTCAACACCCGGGAAAAGGTTCGTCATATCGAAGCCGAGATATCCAGCTGTGAACGACAAGCATTGATATATGAAATAACCAAAAAAACGGTTGCCGATCTGAAGCCTGGTCATGAATGTTTCATCGGTTTAGGACGGGCTTTCGCTCGACAAGATCGACCAGAAATTCTTGCCTTGATGGATACGCGTATTGAAAATAATCAGGAAAAGATTCGCACAATGAAACAGGCAAAAAATTATCAAGAGGGTAAAGTTAAAGAAACCGAGAATAACATTCGTGAAATGATTCAACAGAAAAAGAATGCTGATAAAAAGTAAAGTTATTTTTAACAAGTTTGATTGGTGATTGATTATGTGAATAATAATAAGATTTATAATAATTTGATTTGATTAATCAATAAAACAAAAAAGTATCCAATTTTATCATTCATCATCATTTTATTTAAAATTTGTATTCAGAACAGAATCTCAAAACAATTGTTCGTTATTGTTGTTTATCAAAAAAAAAAAAATGTAAAAAAATTGATACTTTGAAACAACAATACAGCTGGTTTGCTACATTGTTTCAAATTCTAAGAACAAAATTAAATCTTGGTGCGCACTACTGAAAAGGGGTGTGGTCAGATATCCATTAGAACATGAGTATTCATTGTCACGTGATTAGCCCTAAAATGATTAGTTGTGTTGTGTGTTCGATTTCTCCTTCAATCGTTGTTCACACTGATTGTCGTGTGTGTGTCGTTCTACATCAAAATCACATTTGGTAAATTGGAATATTCGGTTTGTTTCCACATTTGGTAAGTTGATATTTTTCAAAATCCTACCTATCTTATCTTGTATGTTGATTTAGCATACAACAATGGGTGGTAAAACATTTGGCAATTTAGCATTCATCCGCAATGTAATCTACATTCGTCTGTCTCCATACGAGCAGAAAGCTTTTCCAAATTATCTGAAGAATACTTGGAATGGTTTCAGACGGGATTTCAACAATGTTTTTCCATACGCTGCACCACCATTTTTGGCCAGCTACTTGATCTACACGTGGGGTAATCAGGAAAATGAGCGAGCAAGCCGTAAGAATCCGGCTGATTATGTCAACGACGAATGAATTCAGTTAGTCATCCTTAATTATTGTAGTATGAAGTGAGAGATTGAATAAAATTTATTTACAAAATTCAATGACTACTCATTTATGTTTGTATACGCATACAAACGATCATCGATTCGACCGGTAAATAGATCGATACATTGGAAATCGTTTCTTTGCATCAACTGTAAAGATTGTTTACAAAAACAAAGAAACCGTTCTAGTTCTGCATCCGATACGGTCTTGGTAATGTTCAGATGAGTCAAGAATGGATTGATTACATAACAGGCACTTGTTTTCGATGTCAGTGGCTTGGCCAAATCTATCTGGCCGGTTCGTAGATCAATAGCCTGAGTCCAGAAATTGTATTCAATGACGAATTGAAAGAATCCATGCACATGCTGTAGAATTTGATCGCTCACATCGGCATCACGTTTTTCTATTGCTGTTTGGCTGCTGTATATTTGATTTTCCCAATCATTAATGGTCAATATGATGCGTTCGCTTTGTAGATAAGCAATGACCAGAATGGTGAGCTGAAAACTGGAAAACCATTCACCAGGATTCGAATGGATAATGCCTAACGAACAACAGAAATGTGAATTATCAAGTATGAGATATATACATCACATACCATGATGTTTGGCCCAGAATTTGAGCAACAGAATTAAGCCACGAACCGATGGACAACTGTGCGAACAATAATGGAGATAGGCGGCCATCTGAACGCCACTATTACATTCTGTATCCACCGAAACATCTACATTTAATGATGGCATCAAACGAGAACGACATTTGATGATTGGCACGAACGCTCGAAATATGCGTTGAATTTGTTTGAAATGCTTGACGTGCAAACGGTTATTTATTTTGATTGTTGATTCCATTGTGGACGATAACGATCGCAGGATCCGTACCGAACGATGAGTGTGAACTTTGTGCTGGCCCCCATCTTCTACTAGACATAAATCTAGATCCGAATCTTCCATACCAAAACCGGATACATCCGATCCAAATGGTATTAATCGAAATTGATTACTACTCGTTCGTTTGGATAATTTCGATTGAAACAGCTGTTCCAATTGTTGGCAGATTAGGAAACGAATTCGATGCTGAGAAATAGGAATCAAATGTTGACCTTGCATCACTTTTGAGATTAAATGTGTGATGCGTGAATCTGAAGGCTTGATCTTTTGTCGTTCAAACCACTGCTTATAACGCATACTAGTAGCCGGTTTAAGGAGATAATCGTCAAACTGACCGATTAAGTGATTGTTATCGGCTCTGAATATGCGATATCGGTCGATCGAACAGTTGGACAGAATATCTGGCTGTATGAATATTTTGATTTTGTCGTTGCTCACTTTTGGCCAGGTTCGTCGGTCATTGGTGAGAAAGCAGACATTATTATGAATGGTCGTACCGTATTTGGATTGCAAATCTGTTTTTTTTATCATGGAAATTGAATCAAGAATGAGATATCAAATGGCATTCAACATACATACATCAAATGCTTACATTGACAACCATTGACATAGTGTTGATCATCACAAAATTGTACGAGAAAGAACCGTTTTGAATGCGGTCCACCTTGGATCGAACCGTTTGAATCGATTCGCCACCTGATTATGGATTCCGCTCTAGAATCAAACAATTGCCCATTCAGGTTTTCATCATCTTTGAGCCATAAATGTCGTAAATTGGCGGTACCATCCTCTACAAGTAACGATCGGCGAGCCAAACGTTTATTATGGACAATCATCTGATTGAAAGTGGTGAATTTTCTTCCCAACAAGGCACTTGTCTTCCATATTAATTTATCGTTCAGTAATGATGGCCAAAAAACAATCGATCCATACATGATCAATCACCTGGCCGGACCACACGTGATTATATTGATATGTACAGTAGATGGCGCCATCATCATAATAAAATTGATCACGTGATTGTTGTAGTGATCTGTCGTCGTCGGCATCATCATCGTTATCAATTTTTGCTGTGTTGACGATGTAAACGAATTTGTTGGTTGTCATTGCAGACATATCATCTGAAGGCGGTAGCTAGTAATATTGGCAAATTGAATCATCATGGAACTGCCGTACCTTGTGCATCGAAAACTAAGATTGTAAGTTGATTGATTTGAATCAAACACAATTGACTAATTGTGTGTGTGTTGTTATATTGATTATCCACAGCTACGAAACGCCAGAATATTTTTATCTAATACCTGTCGATCGGTCTGGATCGAATGGCCAAGCTCTGAGCATCAATCGAGTGACGAATGAAATGAATCTTTTCGATGGTGAGTATATACGATATGCTTGCTAGCTTTGCTACTCAACTTTTGGCTTTTATGTGAGCAGATAGTGAAGCCATTGAACGATCAGTGTTTGCCGATATTTGCTACGGAATAATGGGCATCATACGACTCATTTCTGGCAATCATCTCATATTGATAACTGAAGCTAGTCTGGTCGGTGAAATCTATTCACCCGGTGCCATTGTCTATCGGATGGAAAATGTCCGTATCATTCCGTACAACGATACGAATTCAGCGGCGAGACAAACAGTGATGAGTGATCAACAGAAAGAGTACAATAATCGCTATTTGCTGATGCTTGAATCGATATTGCGAATGCCGTCATACTATTTTTCCTATGTCTACGATCTTTCATCATCATTACAGCGAACGAACCGACAACCGGGACAAAGTCGTACGCTCATACAATCAGCCAACATGGAATTCGTATGGAATGGTGCATTGTTAAGTCAATTGATGGCAGAACAAAAGTTTCATTATTTCTGTCTGCCCATCATCTGTGGATTTGTGGCCATCTATCAGGATTTGATTAAACAACGTCAATTTCGATGGATTCTGCTTAGTCGACGAAGTAGGAACCGATGTGGTACTCGATGGTTTGCCCGTGGAATCAACACCGATGGTCATGTGGCCAATTTCATCGAAACCGAACAGCTGTTGCTAACCGATCATGATGATCGTTTCTCATTGGTTCAGATTCGTGGATCGATTCCGTTGTATTGGTCGCAGTTGCCGAATCTTCGTTATAAACCATCGTTTGTGATACCGAAAGCGCCACACATAGAAAGCTATGGCCAACACGTTCGTCGTTTGGCACGTGAATATGGACGAATTTGTTTTGTCAATCTGATCTCAAACAAAGGATCCGAAAGTCGGCTTGGCAAATTGTTGACCGATGTTGTAAACGATGGCAATTTCAATCGTGGCAATGACATCCCGTTTGTCAACTTTGAATGGTTCGATTTCCATCACGAATGCAAACGACATGGATGGCAAGCGCTGTCCAATCTGATGGACCAAATTCGTTCGTTTATCGATCAATATGGTTATTATTGGTGGTCCAATTCAAACAACTGCTCTGTGCAACGAGTTCAACAAGGCATCATTCGAACCAATTGTATCGATTCATTGGATCGAACGAATGTAGTGCAGAGTATGATTGGCAAATATGTGCTACGAAAACAGATGATCGAGGCGGGAATTCTTTCCGAATTCGAAATGATTGAAAGCTATCCTCATCTTAATTCGATATTCTCGAACATGTGGGCCGACCATGCTGATGTTTGTTCCACTCAATATGCAGGTACCGGTGCACTGAAGTCTGATTTTACCCGTACGGGCAAACGTCGTCTGACCGGTATCATTGCCGACGGTCTGAATTCGTTGATCCGTTACTACAAAAACAATTTCGAAGATGGTTTCCGCCAAGATTCAATCGACTTGATTCTCGGTGTTCATCAGGTGGACGAGCGTGAAGGCAAACAGGTGAAATGTCCGTTGGAAGATCGAAATCTGGCCAAAATATTCTTCTTGCCAGTCCTGTTCCTGTTGTCGATGGCCATGTTTTTGTGGTCATTGGTGTTGTATGGCAATGTATATAGCAGTATTGAACAAGCCATGTACACATTGTTCTGGTTCGCCATGTCGGCCATTTGTTTGGTCATCATGTACTACCTGGGCAACGAATTTGCCGATTACCCTACACTTGTACGAAGGCGATGATTACCTATCAACATTATTAACATGGACACACAATGGATTTTGATTTTGATTTTAATTTATAATTTTAAATTTTTACTCGGCCCATGTTTGATGATTAAATTGAGCATTTTATCAATTGAATTGCAACTCTAGACAAATTCAATGTCAGTAAATGTTCGTGCAATGGGAATGTCGCGGCAAATCTCCAACGCTTGATCAACAGCGGGACCATGTGTCAACACCAGAATGACATTCATACCGGCCTGTTTGGCTGCTTTGCCTTGTTCGGCCGATTTCGTTAGAAAGATAACGTCGGCCAGACTTTGACCAATTTTGGCTGCCACTTTGGTGAATGTTTCCGGGTTTAATAGTGGTCCGATCGATGTGTCAAAGTGGTCGTCGATGACCAAGTTAAGATCTCCATGCGAAGTTTTCGACATGAATTTTCGGCTTGCTTCGGCCCAACCATTGGACAGTATGTACAGTTTGATTGCTTTCGTATTCTTCCATCGTTGCACTGTGATGGCCACATCTGAATACACGGGTGTGGACAGTTTGTTGCGGTCATAGCCATCGAACCAGACCTGGAAACGGAAGAAAGCATACGCCTTGGTCTCTTTCTCATTGTCCATACAGTACTGGATGTAACGACAGACTTGTTCGATGGCATCCTTTTTTCGATTTCGCGAAACAGTGGTGCTTGGACTTTTCATTGATGAGCTACTAACGCTGCTTTGGCTGTTGTTTTTTTTTGAACTTCCCATCTGGATTTTCGGGGCTTTCGAATCTTTTTCGGCAGCTTCTGCCAATTTCTTCACTGCTTCTGCACATTCGGGTTTGGACCAATTGTTTTCGAGGTAAACACGGTAGGCGACCTTGAAATAGGGTATCAATAGCTTTTCGACAAATGATTCGCGGGCCACAGTGCCAGCAATGTCAAACAAAACGGCGTTTGGTTTTTTTACTTTAACTTGAACCATATTCCTAGCAGTGATATGTTTCCATGTTCGGACATTGCTTTCATATGATATGCAGCCAATTAGATTGTGATTAGATTAAAATGTTTTAAATTAAATTAAATCATCAATCATTTCATTGTTCCATTATTGCATTGTTTCAGCACAAAAAACTTTCCGTCAACAACGAATAGGGAGAAACTTTCCATCCATGCTACACGTGACCACAACATTCAAATTGATTGATTCATTTTATTAGTAAAAAAAAAGAAAAAAATTGAAATCCATGGCCCGAACTCAGGTATGACTTCCAATTTGACACATTTAGATTTTCATTTCAAATGTTTATTGTTTTGACATGAAAAGGTTGCGATAAGTACGCCAATGTGTCCATCGGATGGCGGTGATTGTATTGCCGTTTGGGATGTGAGTACGGGCAACATGCTAAGTACGTATCGATCATCAACCAGCCAACTTATACCGCGACATTGTATCGATCGAATTGGCTACCAATATCTGATAAATGGTTATCAGAATTCTCCGTTGGTTCACGTTTGGTCATTGGATGGAAAAGATCGTCTGCATTTGAAATTGATCCTTCCAGGTAATGTTGGAGCATTGTGTGTCACAGCGGACGGCAATTACTGTCTCACGGCTATTGATACACGTTTGTATATTTGGCAATTGGCATCCGGATATTTATTGGCCGTACTTGATGGCCATTATCAGTCGATTCGTGTGGTCAGAGTGACCAATGACCAGTCATATTTTATCACTGGTGGCGATGATGGTATCATTTTGATCTGGAATCTTGCCAAAGTAATTGTGCCAGATTCTCGACAATCGTTTTCAGTGGTCGATGGCCATTCCAGTCGCTTAGAACCGGATCGGACAATCACAAATTCATCGACTGCAATCATTGACATCCATATTGGTCATGGAGGGGGGCCAAACGGTCGTTTTGTTGTTTGCAGTGAACAATCATCTACAGTGAAAATGTATCAACTGCCCACCGGAATTCATTTGGCTTCGATAACGTTTCCACAATCGATTGTATCGGCCGTTATGGATCGTATGGAACGAGCTTTATTCGTAGGATCGACTAATGGTCCTGTCTATGAAGTTTTGCTGTCTCGAGTTTGGCAACAAACGCAAAGAGAAGGTGACCACCAATCAGTACACTTGGATTTATCATGCATAGATGATGATGATGATGAAAAATCGTCCGATCAGAATAGACAAGTGATGATCGGTCATACACGAGCCGTATACTCAATGGCCATAACAATTGATGGCCAAGCATTGTTGACTGGATCACAAGATCAGACGATTCGTTTGTGGCACATTGGCAGTCATCAATGCATGCGAACTGTTCACTGCAAAGGACCTGTATCGAATCTAATGGTATGGCCCAGTATGGCTGGTCTGTTTCTCTTGGATTCGCTTGAATCAAGCAATTATTCCCTGAACAATGTGGATAACAATCAGATAGATCCTTCGCTATCGAGTTCGAACGCTGGATCATTGGCAAAACGTCGACGAGGTAAATTATCTCCAATCTCCAGCAGCATCTACTCGAGGTCACAATCGATTGAGCAGACATTGAGAACGTTGCCGAATCCTTCGAAACCGATATGTTCCGTCTTTCAACGTGATGTATTTCAACTGCGATTCAATCCAATTAGTCTGATCCAGTCAAACAGGCGTGGCCAGCCACAACAAGTGGAACCAACAGACGATTCTGGCCTGGTGAATGCATTCGATCATGGTGGCTGCCTTTGGACACGAAACGATCAAACATCGGGCCGAGAATTCTGGCCCGCAGGATGGTCCACCTTTATGATGCCATACTTGGATGAATGGCAACATTGCAACCAGGTTCGTAATGATTAGTGATTAGTGATTAGTGATTAGTGATTATTTAATGATTTTTATTGCAGAAATACTTGTTATCCGATTCAAATGAAAAGTGCAATCAAGAAAATGGTGTTCATCGGACGAATGATATCCACAATGACCATGGCGATGATGGGGTGATTTCCAAGTTGCGACAAGCCAACCAGCAACTATATCAGTATGCCATCGAAGCGATATTCGATGGCCAGTCCGCCGATTCGGTTACCGGTGGCCACGTAGAATGCATTGAGCTGAACGAATAGAAAAGTGCACGATTTACTTGATTATGTTGGCTCCATGCACATTGAATTTGACTGTTTTGCTTTGTGTCATGGTGGGCTGGCCGGTTAATTGTTCGCTTGGCATAACTTTGAGTTGGTTCCATCTGTGTGTATGTTGTATATGAGAATGTGCATAACAAAAACATGTTAGTGAATTGTAATTGTAAATAAATAGATGTGTGTGTGTGTGTGTGTGTGTGTAGAAACTTGGATTTATTTTTGATGATGAAATAAAACAAATATATAACCAAATGGGACAAATTTGGGTCAGAATCGTTGTATGAATGATGACAGGGTGAATTTCGGTTTAGGAGCTGCATCAACGGGCTTGTTGTCTGTTTGGGATTGTTTGACTGCCATGCAAGGGTGAACAAGTCGATTCTTGAGCAATGACCAATAATAACGGGCTCTATCCACTAATTGTTGGCCAAAAGTGGTTTGCTCACCAGTAACCGATGATGAGGATCGTTTTTGGCCATATCTAAATTATTCAAAAGAATCTTCGGTCACAATTGATTGTGATTGAGGTGATTGGATCGAGGGAAATGTGTGAATGAGTCAGATTCAATGTTATTCAATGTTACTATATACGATAGACTATGCACGCATCATATCGATTTATTGGGCCATAACTAATGGTCAATGAACAATTTGATTGGACTGAAATCGCTTGAGAATAATTGAATATATTGTTATGGATAATGGCGAGTTTTGAATGTCAAAATGCAATTCTATCGTGCTTGGTTTGCGTGTAAATGAGAGATTTTCGTGGAAATGAAATGCCATAATTGCGATATTAATTTATGACGACCATGATGATGATGAGGGTGACAGGAATGGGGTCTCCACTAGTTTTGGGCGTCATGTCGATCAGATGGCCAATCGATCACCAAAGCCACCATTGTCTTGGGAGACCATCACGATGAGTTGACCTTGACTTTCGGAATCTGTTTTGTTCGGAATTTGTTTTGGTGTGTGTGTGTGTGTGTGTAGTTTCAATGAAAAATTGATTCATTTGAAATCATTGACAATCGAATGGTTTAATGGCCAAGCTAAATTTAGTTTATGACTATTTCATATGCTTGCTCTAGTTCTCGTCTATTGCTAGCCAGAATGTTTTACGTGATGATTACTCACATCATTTGGTTAGTTTAGCAGATTGGTAGTTTGGGAATGCAAAAAAAGCAATTAAAGACTTACGAGTAAAATGCAATTGCGGCCACCATGACAAACATCAATGAACCGAGAGCAATGAGTGCTCCGATCAGACCAACCTGAACACGGGAAAGTTGTTGATGTGGACGATGAGCTGTCGGCGGATCATGCTGATTCGATTTGAGTGAATATGATTGATGACCCCCCAACTGGCTATTTGTTGTGGATTCTTCGTCTAATTTCGATGCATCGGCTGTTGTTGAGGTTGTGGCGGTGGTGGTGGTGGTTGTGTCATCGAATTTGGATCTTAAATCTTCGGATGGTGAATGGTATCTAGGTGGTGGGTTGGCTGTCACCGATTCCACCGATTCGATGTCCTCATCCACTTCGTACTCACTTTGTTTTGGTGGTGAATTTGAATTAAAATGTGGCCTTAACCTTTGATTCATGTGTGGTGATGATGAGGAAGCCTTTTTGTATTCGATATCTGGACCTTCTTCTTCAGTGATGAATGAGGCATCGGAAAGGCATTCAGTCACACCGACACATTCGTCAGTCATCAGTGGTTGATTGCAGTAGAAATAGTTATTGGGATTGGGCCGGTAGTACCGGATCATAGGCGGCGGCATGTCGGTTGTGGTTGAAGAGGAACTGGTTTCCAATTGGAAAACGCCATCTTGCATTTGATCTTGCAAATAGGATTGCCGCTCGAAAAGACGACACATGCGACTCATTCGGCCATCACAGTGAATGATACCATCACCGAAACACTGAAACTGCGAACGTCGAACCATGGCCATAGTTGGACATATAGCGTCGATACGGAAATGGCATTGACGGGGAAGAGGAGCGGCCATCATTGTTGGCTGACCGTGCGGAAATCCAGCCGATAGTCCGGGTGGCGGTGGTGGCATGAACGGTATGATTGGCTGATTGTATGGCGCCGGTGGTTGATTAATAGGCGCCATCATAGGATGGAACATTGGAATCGGAGGACCATCCATCAAGTCTTGGTCATGATGATGATGTGGCCGAAATGTCTCCATCATCGGATGAATTGGCATCGATGATGATGGAATTTCAGTGCTGGTGCTGGTGCTGGTGGTGGTTGTAGTCGGTCGACGTTTGAAATAACCATCGTCCCGAGAATCATCATACTGTGGTGGAAGCGTAATGGTCACTGTTTCATAGACGTCTTCACGCTTGGCTGTTGTCGGCGTTTCAGTGGTTTTGGTGGTGGTCACATCTTCATCGATCTCTACATTCCCGTCGCCCTCCACCGCCGAATCTGTAACTTCTTCTTCAACTTCTTCTTCTTCTTCTGTTATGGGCGTTGTCGTTGTGGTTGTGATTAAATCCGCATTTCTGACGTCTTGTTTTTTCCTTCTGTTTAATTCTTGGGCCGTCGTTATAATAGCAGTGATGGTGGTGGGTGATTGTGTTGTTGTCGTCGTCGATGTTGTGGTGGTGGTTGAAGATCGTTTCGTTGGTTGGTCATAGAGCAAAAGTTGTTGATCGCCACTTTTCACCTTAACCTTGACTAGCGTTTTCTTTTTCTTCTTGCCAAACTGATTGGCTCTACCCTCGCGGACATCTTTGTTGATGGGAGTGGCTGTAGTGGTTGATGTGGCCGACGGAAAAGTTTTCACCAAGGTGGTCAATCGAGGCACAGCGGTTGTGTGGTGGCCATTTCCACCGAGACGAATGTACTTTTTTCTGATGTTTCGGATGCTGGTGACCGATGGGGATGGTGCGACATGGTGTGGTGGAGCGACAGTAGTGGTAGTCAGATTGAGCCGTCTGTGGCGATTGATGATAATTTGGGTGAAATTGATGAATCGAGCTTGGCGAATGTTTTCGTCTGAAGATTGTTTCGGTGTTGGCGCTATGAACAGAGAACGGGATGGCGATCTTAGTAATGATGCTCGACCTGGTTGCTTTTCCATATCGTCATCGTGGATCATTTCGATATTTGAAACGGTGGACAAATCCTCTAGCGACATGATCACTTCCGTGTTGTTGATTGTTATAGCTATGGTGTGGTGTTTACACAATGATGATGATCAATAATGACATGATGATGATGTCATGCACAAATCACTTACCATGATGAATGGCCATGTTTATCGAGATGATCATGATGGCCAACCACAATGATGACATGGATGAATGTGGTGTTAATGATCTTATCCAGTTTGGCCATATCGAACATTTTGTCCACCTTTTGTTGACGTTATTATTATAGTCCATTGTTGGATTAACATGGTGGTGAGGGCCATTTTCCACTGACGCGATAATTACTGGGTCCATTTCCGGACTTGACTGATGATCAGCAGCTTTCATCTGGAAAAATGATGGGAAAAGGTTGAATGAACCAATGCATACAGTGATAATGATTGTTTGTAACAGGATACCAAAGGGGTTGCCTTTGTTGTTTGAGAGGATGACGATGGAATGATTGTTTCGCTGATAATTACACTAGAGAAGAACAAAAAAAAACAGGAACACACGACGGTTCTGGTTCTGTGTCCAACGGACGAATGGCGAATGAATTGCTTTTGTGCAATTGCTAGTGTGCACAAAACATTGCCTGTGTGGACTAATTACCATAATGACATGGTGAAAGTTATGAAAAGTAAAAGCAAGCAAGCAACCAGGAAACCAGGAAACCCGATGAATTTTATTATTAGTAATTAGTAGGCTAGTCGCATAGAGAGCGATAGCCGGCAACCGTAGTGTTAATCACTTTGTTTCCGAATACAGGAATGGATTAACACTAACTTGCAATAGCAAACAAATTGATTCGGGTCATGTCTCTGTGTCACAGATGTGACCCGATAGGCAGAATACATGGTCCATGGCAGAACACTTGGAATTGCCAAGAATGGGTGTGTTGGATGCAATCGATCATGGCAATCGACCATTGGCTCTTAAATAATGCAGTGATTTTCACTGGAATCGAAAACATTCGGATCAGCAGCAGCAGCAGCAGATGAGCGATATCTGATGAGGTTAACAAAACTGTTTGGCATGCATGCATTATTCATTAATTAAATGCCGATTGATAAGCGCTTTCGCTTTTTCAATTGGTGGTCGGGCGGTTCATAACAATGTAATCACTAAACTAGGTCAACTGTGGTCAAACTGTTTAATGGTGGTTATGATGATGATGATGATGATGATGACTCGCTATATTCTCTCATTATATTGCATACATAGTACCCACTTACCTGATAACAATTGGGTCATAAGAGATGTATGGTGATGATTATGCGATGAGATGATTAGAAACAAACATGCAAACAAGCAAACAAACACATACTGTTCAAATGATGATCCAGCGAGACATTGTTGATCGTATGTGTGTGTGTGGGAGTCATTCAAGGGACAAAAAGGATGTTTCATTTCCTTAAAGAGAAGACTTGTATATTGGAAATTAGAAATGGAGAGAAGCATGCATGCAGCAAGACATTTGTCCGTTTGTCATTGTTTTGCAGGGTCCGAATTGGCCATTTGTAGCTTTGGTTCCAAGAGAATTATTAGAAAAGTATGACTCACGAGATAATAAAAACTGGCCATGAGGCAGGTAAAATAAATATGGTTATCATGACCATAAATGTCAATCATACATAATGTCCATTCATTCACATTCATTCATTCAGCTGCACAGGTGTGATGGCCGTCCATTGTTCATTCATCCGTCATCCGTATGACTAACCGATTCGTAGATAGTGTGCGAAAGAGGTGGAACATTGCCAATCATTCATTGTGTGCATGTCATTGTCTGGATGGTCAAGCTTGAATGATGGAATCGAATGTGGCTTCCTGATCAATGAATAAAGTGGACAACCCTCGGCTTTGTTCTGGCAAACTCATTGATGCGAAAACCAAACCGAATGTGAATTGTGCTGCGGTCGATATCATTCGGTATCAAAACGGACTGTCATTTCTGCTTTGAACGACAAACAGACATGCAACGATATTTGCGTTTCGTATGGCTCGTTCTATGTTCATTGCTCCTCGATCACACAGAATGTCAATCGCTCATGTCGTACGGAATGAGGAGATTGGCCACCTCGTTGAATCAGTTTGGCATGGATTTGGCTCGTTCGATGGAAATGCAGCCACACCACACAACCTCATCATCGTATTCGTTTTGTCCGTTCTGTGTGGGCACTTCGTTGGCCATATTGATGGCCGGCCTTGAAGACAACGGCCCGTTACAGCAGCAGCAGCAGCAGCAGCAACAACAAAACTACGCCGAAGAACAGTTTCGAACATCCGAACACGCCACTGAACGGTTATACGACTCATTGCGATACGCTCTCTACCTGAATTCGATGCAGCCACAAGAAGTGCATCTAGCATTTCTGGATCTAATGCGTCACCTACAGGTCAATTTACCCGTTGGTTTCTCGATACAACAGCCACACAATTTGTGGGAAGCGAATCACCGGAACCATGGTCTTGCTGATGATGTCATGTTCATAGTGAATCAGGTGTACGTCCAACGCTACATTCCGATGGACTATCGATTCTATCGTCTGGTGCAACGTTATTACCAGACGCCGATACGAAGCTTGGATTTTGCCTATGCACCGGAAGAATCGTGGCATCATATCAATGCCAAAGTGGAACATGAAACCCAAGGAAGAATCGACCATGTGCTCGATTCACAGCTCGTGACATCGTCTCCTCATCCATTGTCATCCACACGACTGCTTTTTCTGTCCGGCCTTCATTTCCGAGCTAGACTTGACTTTCGACAATTGGTTAGTCCTGCGATGCATGATCAACAACGACGTCGTCGAGGTGCCCTGCAACGACTCTGGCCTTTGCGGTCACCTTTTCTTCCGCCAGCTAATCATCACCAGATTTTGTTTCCGGCTTTGGTTCATTCGAACCACCATCAACCACCACCACCACCACCAATCAATCGTCCTCCATTCGGATTGCTATTCAAACCATGGTTGGCCAACAACATAACAATAACGACAACATTGCCATCCACTTCAACATCATCATCACCATCTACGACGACGACGACGACGACGACGACCACCACCACCACCACCACCAGCACAGCTTCGCCTGTAATTGCTTTGAAATTATCATCAACAACTACGGCGGCACCAGTCCAAAATACCCATCATATGGAACATGCAGCAACATTCAATCCATTCGAACCATTATTATTATCAAACGACAAGGGTAATCGAGTTGCAGTTAAGAAAAGAATCCGACTACGGTATCAGCACAACGATTATCTGAACAGCACCGTTATTGAATTGCCATTTGTGGGAGGCACAGTGTCCCTGTTGATTCTGCTTCCGGACAGTCTACAACAAATGCCGTTGATGCTATCCCGGTTGAACGGTCAGCTGATCATCGATCTATTGCAGACACTACAGACGAGACGGATGGACATAAGTTTGCCATTGTTTACAAATCACACCCATTATATAAATCCTGATCGCCTGAGTAATCTTCTCACTTTGATCGGTTTAGGTGAGCTATTCACTGTCACAAACGACAATCATTCGGATGACCATCGTTCGTTGGCTGCAGCATTGGTGCCAATGATGCAGATTTCTCACAAATGCATGATTGATATGAATGTTATCGACGACGACGACGACGACGACAACGATGATGATGAGCACAATGACTGGTCAGGAACAACACAAGACAACAAGATCGCCAAGAAACTCTCTCATCAGGAAGATGCGATGAAGCACATTAGTTTGCAAATGGAAACCTTCATCTATCTCATCATCGACAACGTTTCCGGCCTCATCCTGGTGATGGGCAAACATGGTTCAAACTAAATTATTGGCAACAATTGTCACACATACACACACAGCGAATGAAAATGTAGTGTTAAGTAATGAATCAATTGAGAATGGAGCAATCTTTTTATTATTGTCACACAATGTTGAATGATGAAAGGAAAGAATGAATTTGAAACATTTGATATTTGATTGATAATAATAATATCATGTCTAAGTCTGTTGGTGTTCTACCGGTTCCAGATTACTGGACAGAATGGAAACCACTCGATCCTCTTTGGGCAAAAACACCGAGCACATAGAGCCGGAGATGCTTCGGATGAAGCCATGTTGTCCGATGAGATCCTCGTCCTGGTGGATGGATTTGATTCTCACTTCCATATCAGTGGTCAACCAATCGGATGCATAACCACCGCTTGGATCGGATCCTATGCCAACACCAGGTGTTTGTGGGTTGAGATGGAAATTCACATCCGGTGTCATCGGCGAATAGCCAAATGGAGCCGGTGACGGTCCTACGCTATGTGGATTGTGGTATGTAGCGCTACCGGTCGATGCTGGACTTGGTGCTAGGTATCCCGGCGATGGAACTATGCCGTGCAAGTATCCGCCACTGCCACCAGGTGATGGCGATGTTGTAGGATAAGGTGAATAAGGTGTTGAATCGGAACCTGAATTTTCATTGATGAAAAATGATGAATCCTAATTCTCTCTATAAAAAAACTATCTGAATACATACCCGGAGTGGCTGGTGTATAAGCCTGAGGCGTTTCGGGATTGTTGTAGCTGGGCGTGTTGGGCGCAAGAAATGTTCCTGGAGACGGTGATGTGTCCAGGTAATCCTCGAATTCTGGCCGTGGCGTTGCTCCAGAATCCCAAGCAGGCGTTCGCGATCCATCATGTAACGGCGTTCGACTTGGATCGTGCAACGGTGTTCTGGAACCAGAATGCATGGGCGTTTGCGAACCATAGCTTGGAGTACGACTTCCGGCATACGGGTTTGGAGTGCTGGCAGCAGAATCCATTCCGGGAGTTCGGCCGGCAGCCGAATTGGGCAATATACGACCATCTGCAGTGACCAACGCTATTCGAGTCTTGTCGACGGTGATTGTTTGGCAACTTGTGTGCAGTTCAACGCGAGCTGTTGCTCCGATTGCATCTTTGACGATGCCGATGTAGCCTTTGTAGTGGCCTTGGGTGATTTTAATCGTTTTGCCAATCAAATTCAGATCGTTGCGATCACGACCAGATCGTTGAAAACCTTGTCTGGGCATTGGAGAACCGCCACCGGTGGCTGCTGATGGATGTGCGGGCGATTGCATGACTCGTGGTGACATGTAACCGGCTTGTAAATTACCGCCGGCGGAAGCGGGCGGAGCTTTTGAAGCTCCTTGCAATAGTAAATGTCGCGTTTTGCACGCAAATATGCCACCATTCTCGAGCACCATACGCGAGTAAAGGAATGCAATGCCTCGATACAGATGTTTGATTTCGCCTTGACGACCAGTGTATGGACCGTCGTGTACGCGAACTTGGTCTTTCACTTGAATTTGATTGGAATCTGAATCCAACGATACTGCACGTTTGGAGTCACGTTTTCGTAGAATGGCCTGTGGTTTCACCTGGACGACACGGTCATGCATGTTTAGAACATGGAAATTTTCTCTTTCCAGACGCACTATCACTCCAACAGTCTGCGCATCCAGGTGGACAAGATCGCCCCATTGGTATTGACCCATTGAATCGACACCGGTGGCCATATCCGAACAGAGTTGAAGATCTTTGTGCAGCACTCGAAGTTCGTGCATGGTCAGATCGGAAAACAAAACAATTTGGTCATCTTCCACCCGAATTATGAGGCCGGTGTCTCCTTCATAGCGACCGGCAATCACTTTGACATGATCACCAGGTTTAAAGTATTTACGCAATTCATGTGGCTGAAAGGGAAGTGGAGCGTCGAGATCTTCGTGGTTGGCAAGCATTTTGATGAGATTGCCTTCGATGGTCAATATTTTGCCGGTCAAGCCTTTCAATTCGCCACTGATTACTTCGATATTGTCGCCCGCTGCAAACGAATGGCCACGATCTTCGGCCAATGTCGATTCGGTGAGATGAATTTCCATGCCTTCGGGGTGTTCTTCGAATCGTTCCAGTTCGGCCAAAGTAGGTTTCACACCTTCCACCTGAATGGCATTCATGTTGAACGCTTTGTAGAGAAAGCCACGACGATAACGATTCGATTCGAATATGATAAAGTCGCCGTCATTGGTCACCTCGCCGCCAATCGATCGAATGGCGTCCATGTCGAACAGTTTGGCTGCCGGTTTCTTGAATCGTTTCTTTTTATTGTCACCATCATCATTGTTTTGAGAATCGTTGCCTGGCGCACGGAGCGCTCCTCTTAATCTGGTATAATCGATACGCGGTATTAGTTTGAGATGCACCTGATTCTGGGCAACGTCAACATAGTCCACCTGAGCCAGATCGTCTTTGTAAAGGCCACGTTTAAGACGAACCCATTGACCGACCTAATTGTAATAAATGAATTAATGAATGAGTGAGTGAATGATTCTATGGCCATTACCTTTAGGTTAGAAGTGTCTTTGGTCACTTTGAGAACTTCGGTCATTTCGGCAATGGGCACCATGGTTTGTTTGTAAAGACCAAGACGAAGGTTGCCAACGTTTTGAATGGCCTGTTTGACGTGCGTTTGTTTGTATGCTTCGATGTAAATGTAGCCTTTGATGCCTTCGGGTGCTACCACCGATTTGATTTGCAAAGGGTCGTCCGAGTTTTGATGGGCGATGAATTTTCGCATCAGTTGCAAAACAGTTTGTTTTTCTTCGCCGATACGGCATTTGACCATCCAAAGGTTTGGATCTTTGACACCTGGCATCAACGCTTGTTGTGAGATGTTGTTGGAAAGTTCTGCGTCACCATCGTAGCCATGTGCAACAGACGTCGGTTCGGCATACTTCATTCGATAATAGTTTTCGATTTGGTCTTCTTCGCTGGTCAGAATCATCTGCAGACGGCGATGCTGATTACGATCTGAATGGTCGCTGCTGTCCAATTTGTTGTCGATAATATCCGGTTGTGCGCCTTCTTCCCATTCTTCGTCGTCTTCGATCTCGCTATCCACTTCGGCTTCTTCGAGAATGAATCCACCGTGACGAGGCTTTTTTCGTTTCTTTTTACTGGATTTCTTTTTCGACCGTTTGTTGCTGCCGTGTTTAATCGGTTCATCCGAATCCTCGTCTTCTTCCTCGTCGTCCTCGTCATCGTCAAGATCTTCGCCTTCCGGCTCTTCTTCGTCTACTTGTTCTTCTTCATCATCGTCGTGGTCGTCTTCATCATCGTGTCGACGGTTCTAGCATTTAATTTAATTTAATGTTTATGATGATGATGATCAAACTGAAGCTTACCTTGTCAAATGAATCGTCGGAATCGGACATGATTATCGATGGCGATGATTAATGTCGATTAAATGTGGTTGATGAACGCGACAAAAACAAATATCAATGAATTCAATGTGTCAGTTTTATGTGCGGTATATTTGATCACGACAACAATAACACGACTCGCCATTCCGACACGTCCTATATGAACGGCAACGAATTCAAACAAAATTTTCAATTTTTTATATCATCAAAAAAGAATACAAATACAAATTGATAAATCTTAAATGGAGCAGGCGCATATTCAAACAATTTGAATTTTTTCGACAATTTGAAATAAAAAAACGAATGATGATGATGATGATGATGATGATTTGATTTATTTTATGACAACAATTGTTCGACGTAGGTGAGGATTTCTGTCAAAACGCTGTTTGTTTCTGGCAAAGATCCTGTGGAAAGAAAACGCCTTGATCGACACAATGGACAAACTGGACTCTTTCGTTGATGCTGCATGGTGGTGAGATATTGCTGAAGACATGGCCGACAAAAGTTATGGCCACATTCAGTGGTGATCATATCATTACCATCATTCTCAACAATTTCGATGCAGCATGCACAACGGAATGCATGGCGAACGGTGATACGAAATTCGACTAGATTTTTATGTCGCTGGGCCAGTATGTCCGACCAGACTTGCTTGTTGGCTTCGTCCTTGCCAATCAATTTGACCAGCGTTTCCGGTATGACGTAGTAATCTATTATTGGATTCGATTCGCTCTGTTTTGATTGATGATCGTTGATCGATGATGATCTGGCTTGTTTGGACCGTATATTCGCATCAGTGGTCCAGAAACGTTTCTGTGCAACCTGGCGACACCAGCCAGGCGGATATTGTAATTGATGAAGGCCCAATTTTTTTGTTCTGTATCGTCCGGCATCGGTCCATGGTGCCGGTTCTTTGTCGTCTCGACGAAGTAGGAATCGCCAAACTCGATGTCCGTTGGTGGCAGCTTCAGGCCAATAGCTTTGTACTTTGTAGAGTCCGTCATATCGAACACCAATCTTGGGCAAATACCTGGACCGTTTGTGTTTTGGAATGCGGCTATTTCCGCTTCGTAGCACTCGTATGGGCAGACCTTGTTTCCATAAATCGCGATCAGGACCGTGAGCACTGGCGCCGTATTGTTCATTGATCGGAACCGGACAATTTCGTGCCAATGCTAGAGCGTCTCGTTGCAGTTTCTGGTTACATTGCGAGACACTCTTGCTACCGCTTCGTTTGCGCACTGATCCAGGTGTGTTGACTGTGTAGTAGATCTCATTGCCTAAATCTACATCCTGTGGGTTGAGTGCAGCGAATACAAGCGAATAAACACCCAACGATTGGCTACCATGAATGCCGGCCACCAAAGGAGCATGGACACCTGCTTCGGATGCTTGTACTCGGAATCGCCACCACGATCCAACGGCCACTTGTGGTATGTGGCCGAACGTTTGAGATTTGACTTGGTTTCGATGTGGATGTTTGGAACGTGAAGCACAGGCCATGCCATATCCCCAAGCCATATCGATTCGTGTTGTTGAATATGTATCCTGCTGACGTTGTTGAAGATGAGATTGTTGTCGACTTAACAATTCGTCATTGGTTTCATTGCGGCATTCATCACAATACCAGTCGTGGTCGTCATCGGGTGTTTTGTCCAACGGCTGTTTCAGACACCAAAGATGCACGGCACGTTCACATTCGTCACATACGAGTTGTTTGTCTGGATCAGCTTTCTCCGAACACACTTGACAGCCACATTCCGTGCATCGATTGATTGTTGCGTCGTCACGGCATTGGTTACAATCTGGTTCGATATGGCCTAGATTATTGTTGATTAGCACATTGGTTGATTGTTTAGTTTGTTTAGTGACGGTTAGTGACGGTTAGTGATACTTACGGTTAATTTGGGATCCATTCTTGATGATTAGGTCAAGCTGTGAGTTTCGTTCAGCGATAGGAACGTTGGATTCGAGATTGTAAATGAGTCCATCGCCATAACTAATCTGTTGTCTGATGATGGGCATTTCTGAGCCGTGAGTGACCAACGCCAACCACACACTCATGCGGTCACGACGACTACGTTTTGTCATTTCCACAACAGCCGCATACCATTGATGATCCAGGCAAACAAGTACAGTCTGGCCTGGTCGCAAAGCTTCTTTGCCGATCATGCAGTACGGTTGTGGTCTGATTTGAGACAACGAACGAATTTGGTCGCTGCCCAGAGATTGTTTTTCGAACGATATGTGATAGTGGATGGATGATGTTGATTTTGTCATTCGGACAATTCGGCCAGGATACCATGATCCAGTTTGCTCGTTGAATGCATCGACATGGTCACCCACCGAGTAGTAATCGTCTTGTTGGATCGATTGTTCATCATCGTCATCAGATTTGTTGTGATCGTGGTCAGCGATTTTGGATTCCACTATGTTCGTGGCGGTGGTCAACATGACATGAATGACATTGTCATCAGACAGACCGTACGTTCGAATCGAATATTGATCCTCGAGTTGTTGTCCATTGAAGAATAGTCGAATCGTCGTTGATTGGTCGGTCCAATGTTCTGGCCACATTTGCTCTAATCGATCTTTGATCAACTTTCTTAGCAATCGAACTGGGTGGTGATTGGATGGACACCACCAGACGTCGAATTTGGATTCTTGGTCTGATGACCAAGAACTACCGACTAGTTGGCAGCGGAATCTTGTTCCCGGCATGACCGTATTGTATCGTATCGATCAATCGATTGACTGGATGGATTGTTTGAATCATCGTATTATTTTCATCGCACATCGGAACAAGCGGGTTGGACCCGAAATGAACCGCCTATAGTGTGATGACAAGCTGTACGTTGGCACGCGAATCAACAGCCGACATCTGTTGCATCTGGTAATTCATTTTTTTCGTCGGTTTTTTTTGTCAATTTTTTTCTCGGCTTTTTTACTTTTTTTTATTCACATCATCAATATATAACATATGCGCGTGGCCCACCAACCAGAAGGGTTATATGACATTTGGCCAGATGGCTGTTTGTGTTTTTTTTTTTTTTTTTTTTTTTTTGTCATTCGAGACCGTTATCAAATTACACACAGAGCTCAGAGTTGGTTTGAGTCGTTTATTTTTTTCGGTTTTAAAATTTGAAAATGTAAAAAAAGTTTGAGGATTCAAAAGAGAATGAGAGAACAATTGTAATCCGATTCGAAGAAAGAGAAAAACAGAGGCCTTGTTCATATATGAATAACGTTGAATAAGATTACAGTTATTCGAATGGCTGAGACGAAAAAAAAAGAATAAATATGGGTTACACAGGGTGTTTAGAGAATAAAAAGTCCAGTTCAAGTATGAGAGAGAGAGAGAGGAACATCGAATATGCTTGTTGTTGGATTCGCTAGTTGTCAAATTTCGGTCCGACATAGGTGGGTGATGGCATCATTGCTGAGGAAGAAGATTGGTCTTTGAACTGTGATGATGATGATGATAATGGCGATGATGAAATTCGAGATTGGAATACGTTCGACGTGTAGTAACTGGCGCCTTCGTCTCGCGATCCGTTGTCGCTGTAAACATCACGGCCACCGTTATCCTGGACATTCGACGACGACCATGACGATTGTGACTGTTGTGGCTGATGACTATTACTGCTGCTGCTGCTGCTGCCTTGTTGACCTTGTGACCAGATCGCATTGTTGGGTCCTATGAATGGGCCATCCAGGCTGCTGATTGGAACTTGACCTGATTGCATGGGCCGATCATTCGACTGTAATGGCGATGACCATTGGTTGCCATTTTGGCCATTGTAAGCACTGGCTATCGACGGTACCGATTCAGACATGGACGGTCCATAGTGTTGAGATTGTTGATGTGGTGCTGGTTGATGAACGTACGAGCTTTGTGGCCGATGATGATAAGACGGCTGTTCTAGCTGTTGGTGTTGGTGTTGTTGGTGGTGGTGATATTGTTGTGGTTGGTAATGGTGGTGATAAGCAGCAGCATGTCCATAATTTCGACCATACAAGCCTTGCATTGATCCAGAAACATGTGGTCGTTCGATCGGTGATGACCACTGACCAGCAGACATGAATGATGGTGACGATGATGATGGCACCGCTACGAACGATGGTCGATAGCTTGAAGCAGCACCATGCATTGACGATTTCGATCCAGAGCCCGTTACGTAACGTTCAGCAGATGGACCATTTGAATTGTACAGGCTAGAAAGGTAAGCTGGTGGTGAGCTGCCAAGGGAACTAAAGTCTGCGGCCATTTCATTATTATTACCAAAGCCATAGGGTGCTGGTCGATACGAATAAGAATACGAGGATCCCGAAGTCATCATCGGCGTGTTGTTGTTCTCTCTTCTAGGACGAATTTGACAGTTTAGAGCGCAAATCATTCAATTCAATGATGATGAGATATACAAACCTGTAGAATATGGCGTTCATTATGTTACGCAAACGACTGGTCAACGATGAACGACGACCTCCGATCGGTGACGACATTGGCCGTAACATGGACATGAATGACGATGGACTGGTCATCACCATCGAAGACCAACTAGTGGGCAAGGTCATCCACGACGAAGAAGACGGCGACGAAGATGAGGATGGTGCCGCTTGTGCCAATGCCTGGAGCAGAGCTTGATACTGGGCCATATTTCCGGCGCTGCTAGTTGAAGGTGATTTGATGGCGGTGGGTACCGATGATAGGAAGGCAGAAAGATCATTCGTGTAGTAGGATGTGCTGGACGATGGTGGTGGTGGTGAACCAGACTGGTCTGATCTGACGACCTGGTTTCTGCTTACAGGATGCAAATTGGTCGATTCATTTAACGATGGTTGGGCATTATGTGGCACTGGGGTCAACAGCAGCAGTTGTAGAAACGACAAAGCCACCGACAACAGGAGAAGATTCTTCTGTGAAGAATGAAACAAACAGAGATGGAATTGATTCATGTTTTGTTGCTGTTGTTGTTGTTGTTGTCGTTGTTGTTGTTGTTGTTGTCGATTGATGACCGTTGTCACAAGTGACCAGTGTTATGAGAAATGGCCAATGACCAAATGGCACAGATTTGTGTATACAGTGTTGCACAAACCGGTCATGATTTAGCCTTTGGCTAACCGATAATTAATTCACCCCACTCGACTATGGTTATCGTGGCAAAGTGGCCGGATATAAGCATCATCACTGGTATTCAGGTCAATCTACGGGCAAGCGCATCCATTGGTGTGTGTGTGTGTGTGTGTGTGTGTGCGTCAGAGTGGACAAGAAAAGATTTGAGAAAAGATGTTTGCAATGGACTTACCATGTTGTTCATTGATCCTGGTGATGAAAATTAGTCTTGATGATGTGATGGATCTGGATCTTGATTCAATGACAATGACAGACAAATTTGGACCAGCTAGGAACACATTGACACGAGGACAGACGATGATGGTGATTCAGTGTTGAGATTCGTCAAAAAAAAAACAAACGATTGACGTCGATGTCTGGCTCATCTAAGGATCTGACTGAATGTGAAATCCTGGTTGTCTCGACATTGAACATTGATGTTGGCCATGACATTCATTCATTCATACAACTCGTTGTTCTCTCTCGAACACGAATGCCAGTATGATTAGCAGAGAGTGGTTAGGTTCCCGATGTAGGACATCATTCAAACGATAACCGGCGAGAGAAACAGGCAAGTCTACTTTTGCCAAACTCGTTTTCTTCTTTTCTGTTTTCATCTTGTTCGGGTGAGGATGCATCACTGCGGTTATTAGGATGGCCATCACGATGTTGTCGATGTTGTTCATCATCATCATCATCAACATCGTCATCGACAACGATAACAGCTTCGTGATGTTTGTAGCAATTTGCCATCATTATGAATGATTGCCAAGGCCGGAAGAGGTGAAACTTGGCATACTCGTTGACCTTGATCTTGTTAAGTGGTGAGATTATTATTATTATTATTATTATTAGCTAAGCCGATTATTGGTCAAGTATCGGCAAAAACCCTCGATCGATCGAATCACGCACACACACACACAGTAATACAGTGATGCCCTTGTAAGATTCATAATTGACCTTGTTGTTGTGGTTGATGATGGATGCTTTTACACAATGGCTGATGCTGACAAATGGGTTGCTTTGATTCAAAAATGTATTTTGAGTGTGTATGCACAAAGAAAAGGTGTTAATTAGAGCCTATTGTTTGCTCACCCAACAGCTGCATCGTTTCTTCATTTGAGCAGTTTCACATTTCTACATTGACATTGACCACAATGGCCGAATCACCTATATCACTAACACACACGCATCAACAGACATACAGGCGGTTGATTGCATGAAGCATAAATGGGAAAATTCCATTCTCAGCGCCGATAATGAAACAGGATTTCATTTCATCGCGTTAATAAATCTAATCAATAGCCCGAGGGATTTGTTTGTTTGTTTGTTTGTTTGTTCGAATTTCGAACCATTCACACTGATGAACAATGATGAATGTTGAGCATATAAATGTTTCAGTCTAGAATCGTTTTTGTTGAACATATGATGGAGGGCTTTCGCGTGTTGGCGATCACGTGGTTTATTCGTGGTGTGTTTGCTTTTCAGGACATGACCAAGTGGCAAATTTCCATCAACCAGGCAGCATCCTTTGTTCGGTGCGGTGCTACACACGATTATCTGGCAAATACGGTGTCCATGTCCATTGTGCAAGGTCGCCTATACCAATTTGTACGCTCGTGTGACGATTCTCAGTTGACTGTTATTGTCTACGAGCTTAAACCGTCCACCACCAACGTAGAGAGGTTGGACTTGTCCAACGGTGCAAGAGCGACATTGAATCAAGTGGAAAAATCGATTGCACAGATGATACAAGATACAGCAAAAGTGATTGACCGAATGAACATGCGAATCCATCTAGCCATTTATTATTCGGACAAATTGAAACAGATCTTGTTCCATTTGTTCATATCAGATGTGGCCAACGACAGATTCTTTGTGATGACTGACTTGCCGGATGGAGAGGTGAGCTTTTTCGATGGAGAATGGAAGTACAAGATGCGTTTTGCGATTATTAGTGACAGCAATGCCATTTATGTGATCAGTTCATTTTACGGCCTCTCACAATTCCTAATCAGACAATTTGACAAAGATCATGAATCTGCTTTGGCCTATTATCTGTGTGTGTTTGAAAATCCACTTACCATTCAGCGTTCAAAGAAGCCATGCATTAGCACCAAAGAAGCAATCGATGTATTTGGTCATGTTCAGTATGGATACACATCACAAACCATCACATTTCCCGTATATCTTTATCTGGTTGCACCGGCCAAAAAAACAGTGTGGATAGTCAGCGAGGGCATTCTTGGCGATGAAAGTCAACGTCTCTTTAAGTTGAGACGCATCTCGTTCCAAGAATATTTCCATTGTCAGCAAAATCCGGACGCTGCCATTCCTGGTCGATTTTTCGCAAACAGTGACATTTCTTGGTTCTATTTGGCGCCCATATTCATGTTGGTATTGTCCATCATGTTGGCCATTATGTACTGTTTTATCCGCTATTCGCGCTCTCGTCGCCGATACGCAATGTCAATTTCAACTGAACCACAACAACAACAACCGACCTTGGAATCGGAGATTTCGAAAACGATCGAGGCAGAATACGACAAAGATGACAAAAAGACAAGATATCCATTACGGATGGCTGGACATGAAGAGGCGGAAAACATTTTACTACGATCACCAGCAACTTGACTTTGGTGCTAATGATGATGATGATGATGATGATGATGGATTTATTTTTTTTAATAGATTCAAAATAAACACATTTGAACTGCCATCCAGCGGCCACAAATCAAACCACCGAATGAAAGCATCTTGTTGTTTTGTTGTTTATAACGGTAAATGTTTGAGCATCATTTTGAAGCAAACACAGATACAAACAGGGTTGTTATTGTTGTGAGTTTACCGACTTTGCTCACAGGATGAAGCCGAGTCAAATGTTTGTGCCAATTGGTCATCTGTGATCAAGTGTTTTATGAATCATCATCATTGCAATAATAATCTAGTCATATTGATTTCACTGTTATGATTATGATGGCATCCAACAATCAAATGCACAACTATCTGCGTGAAATACGCGGCATATCTGGTGTTGTGATGACCAGTGATTCATCGTCATCTTCTTCGTTGGTTTGTTCGGGTATCAAATCCACTTTGGACGCAAGTAGCAGTAGCAACAGCAATCCATTGGCTGAATCGTATGGACAACAACCGAAAGCTTTGAATCGTCAGAGTCGTGTGGTGCTGCATCCCCAATTACATCAGCAACATCTGAAGAATGTCTGGAAACATTACTGTGAGTTTTGTTCAGATGATTGCTTTGCACATTTTTACATTATCTGTCTATCTATGTTCTAGTGTATGAACTTCAGCAACGGGCGCCCACACCCAAACGAGTGGTTTGTCCATTTGTGATACGATCGCGACCCTCCCACTATGGTCGAGAATTCCATGGCATTATGTCGCGTGATGAGGCCGAACAAATCCTGCTCGACGATGGCAAACAGGCGACGACTGATCAGACTTCTCATCACCACCAGGACGATGGGCGCTATCTGATACGTGAATCGTCGCGTCAAAAGTCTCAGATGACGCTGTCGTTGCGGTTCAACAATCAAACAAAGAATTTTCGACTTTTTTACGATCATCAAGGTGGCCAGCACTACGTCAACGAACTGAAGCGTTTCGACACTGTCCATGACTTGGTGGCCGATGGTCTCATCACACTTTATGTGGAATTACATGCCGCCGACTACATTGCCAACCTGGCCAATCAGTCTCGATACGAAGAATCGCCCTACATGACGTTGCACAAGAATCGACTTTTGAAAACCAACAAACAGACACGGTCCGCGTGTAAATTGGACAATGTGCAGATAATGCCCATTCAGCCGCAAGAATTGTGTCTGCAAGACGATCCCTGTGATGATGATGATTCGTTGGATCGGAAATTTGATGTTCGTCTGTACGAAAAGGCTCACAATTTTCGGACGCACACGTTCATCGGACATCCGTGGTGTGATTTTTGCGGCAACTTTATCTGGGGACTCATAGGACAAGGTGTCCGCTGTGAAGGTTTGTCTTTTTAATTTGTTTGTTTATTGATGATGTATTGATGATACAAACTGTCCAAAACAGACTGTGGCTTTGGAGCTCATCGGAAATGTTCAGAATCTGTGCCAAACGACTGTTGTCCCGATTTACGTCACATTCGTCGCATATTTGGAATCGATTTGACCACGTTCTGCAAGGCCAGTCAATTGCCGCGACCATTCATCGTTGAACTGTGCGTCGCCGAGATAGAACGTCGTGGTCTTCGTGTCGAGGGACTTTATCGTGCCTGTGGTTCTTCTGACGAGATTGACCTGTGGAAGAATCGATTCGAAACGGACTGGGAACACACCCCCTTGGCTCAGATTGAAGACATTCATGTGGTGACTGGTCTGCTGAAACAGTACTTGCGATTGCTGCCCATTCCGTTGATAACATTCGATTCGTACCAACGTTTCGTTGATTCGGCAAGTATGTGGATTGAACATGTGAGAATGTTGGTAGCAATGTGTTGATGATGATTTGTTTTGTGCAGAAAAAAGCTGCCAAGAGCAAGCCGTACAAGGATTGCGGGATGCGTCTCATCATTTGCCGCCAGCCCACTATCAAACGCTCAAATTCCTGATTGTCCACTTAAACAAGCAAGTATAGCTGATTATTGATTATTGATTATTGATTGCCATTAATCGACACCACATGCAGGGTCTGTGCATACGAGGACTACAACCTGATGTCGGCGAAAAACCTGGGTTTAATATTCGGTCAGACGTTGATATACACGCCCAACATTCCGATGATGTTTCAGATGATGAATTGCTGCTGGGAATACGAATCCAAGGCCATCGAATTGATGATTCTGTTTCATGATAAAATATTCAAGTGAATCTATCCATGTAAATAAACTAGGAATGAATCCAATAATAAATGTTACGTTGCTTTACTCATCTTATTCAATGATTTGATGGATGTGTTGTTGCACCAAACATTTAGAATGACCAGATATGGATCAAGTGATCAATTTTTCATTGGTCTCTTATGTTTAGTCCGAGTTATGTAGAGATTAAATTGGAATAGAAACGTGACTTGGCCTTGAAAGGAAAAGGGAATTTCCAATGAAATTGAAACGGCGGGTCTCTTCAATTCAATAGAATGATGATGCAATAGGTGGATAGATGGCATTAGTGGCAAAAAGGATGCGTTTGTTGTGAACATCTCTGTAAGTTGTTTCTGGATGGGAAAAGGATGCGTCGTTTGTGCATGCATTGAATGTGTGAGTAACTTGTGACTCATTCGTGATTGATGGTTTGAAGCAAGCACGTGTTTTTTGACTTGATAAAATGTGTGTTTTCACTAATTGATTTGTTTTTTATTTTGCTGTTATTCTCTGTGATATCAAATCAAATTTTTATTTCATGTTAAATTTCACCATTGGTAGAATTTGGAAAATCCATCGTTGAAATTATTGATTCTTTGATTCTTTTCTTTTATATTATTTTAATTTTAATCTGTGTCTTACATTCTTGAATCAATTTTTTTCATTTCTTAATTTATTAATTGATTTTGTATTCATTATGAGCGAATCACCGGCGTCGATTTTTCATTCTATTATCAATGTTGTTGAAGATATCGATATCTCCGACATCAGCCATGATAATTTGGATCATGATACTGGGAATAATCTCAATTTTGATAATCTCAGTGATGTAATATATCAAATTTTTATTTTATTTTTATTTTATGTTAAATTTTTATTAATCGTCATATTTATTATTGCAATTATAATACTTGAATGTATTTTTCCAATTACAAAACAACAATTATTAACAACAATTGATGACAACGATTATTATGAATTACAAAACCAAAATCATAATAATCTTTGCTATCAAAATCGAAACAAAAACGTGTTATTGACTTTGTAATAATGTGTTTTAATGTAATCTGTTTTCGATTTTGATATTATTCTCTGTGATATCAAATCAAACAAATTATTTTTATTATTATTATTATTTTTTTATTTTATTTTATTTTATTTTATGTTAAATCTTGTGAGTATTTTGATTATTTTGATCATTTTGTTATTGTTATGAGCTTAATGCCATTGTATTTCAATTATTTTATTGTTTGCTGTTCATTTATTGAAATCAGTAGTTAATAATGCAGCTAAATTGCTAACATGCGAAACAATTATTTTTTATCTATACAAGAATTGTACAATTATTTTTCATCTTTTGTATAATTTCAGATTGGACAATTTTCTACCAATCAGTGGCAAAGCAGAATTAATTAATTTATGTTTATTTTTATGTTGTAATGGTCGTGAGTCGATAGCGCGACCCCAAGTGGTGATGATGCCAAGCAACACGTGTTGTGTTGCTCATTGTTCGTTTTTGAATTGTTAAGTTGCGTTTTGTTTGTCATTGAATAAAGTCTTGCATTTATTTGTGTGATTGCGAATGATAATACGTTACAATGTATCAATTGTTATTTATTACTTTTTTGACGCATTTTAAATGATGCAATTAAAATCAAATTGTTGAAAACAACAATAACCGATGAACAACTGTTGAATGACTGGAAAACATTTGTTGTAAATGTTTTCAGTAATTTGAAACAGTATAACCAAATCCTGGTTGATACCTGCGATGATTGAATGATTAACTCATACAAAAAAAGAAGAAATTCGCCAAAGTTGGCCAACTGATATTCACATCCGTCACCTGATGCTTTATTGGTACAAAATGGGCATCAGTGAAACTAGAGCTGCTGTTTAAAAAAAATATGGGTGGAGTTGACCTTGCTGATCAATACGTTTTGACTTATTGTGTTTTCCGAAATTCATTGAAATGGTGGCGGAAATTATTTTTTTGTGGACTTGAAATTTGTGTCATCAATTCCTAGATAATTTATCGAGCCTAAGAAGAAAAAAATAATCATGTGCCCATGAAACTTTATAAATTTGTAAAAACTCTCATAGACTCGTAAAATTACTGGAACATATTTTCTTGATCACTATTTTTCGAATCATGGTAAATTAATGAATTGTGTAAATCGATATCGATCAACTTTATGATGAAGTTTGTTTTGTTAATAAATTCATGAAAGAAGTACAGATAAAGAATTCATCAAAAAATGAGTCAATATTTTAAATAAAAGATACAAGATGAACAAAATTGATATTGTAACAAGAACGGTTTGAGAATCTAGCGCCATAGTGCAATTTGCTGAAATGGGTGTTACCACGGCCACCCAAAATTATTCGATTTGTTCCAATTGACGATCATCGTTCATCATCATCATCAAGTACTTTTTGATGTCGGCAGAATCAATGAAATTCGGTTGTATATTCGTCGTCGTCGTATTAGCAGACTCAATTTGAATCAAAAACTTGTCATTTCTTTTTTCTTTCCTTGTGATTTATTGACATTTGTTTTCTACATTCTTTTCTATATTTTCATGATAATCTACATACTCTTATTGCATACTTTATGTAATTCTTGCATGGTAACATCAAATTGGCACTATAACAAACCATGGTGCATACGATGCCATTGTTTTTTCAAAAGCAATGTCCGTCATTGTCTAGATCAGTCATTCTCAACCTTTTTTTTGTTGCTACTGATTTGTGAACAATTTTTGTGCCACGGCACAGGGGTTGAGAATGACTGGTCTAGATGGTCGCATGTTTTTTTCGATTCATGCGACGATACTGGTGACATCAGAATCAAAGCATTCGACGTTGAATGTGATGCTTTCTATGATCAGATTGTTGCCAATCATACATTTTTGCTGTATAATGTGTTGGTATACAACAATGCTGATCTGATATTTGTTCCAGAATGTCGATCAGCGTTCGGCAATGCTAACATACCGATAAACGAGCAAGAAGTGTTAGGTGCAATGAAAACCATGGACAGAAAACACAAAGCTCCCGGTGTGGACGGTTTTATCGGCGAAATCATTGGCCATTTCGTACTGGCCAATATAAAATTTGTCACAGCATTCTTCAACCAATGTCTGATGAATGGCCACTTTCCAGATGCATGGAAAGTGGCAGTAATAAAATTTATTAACAAACCTGGTAAAGATAAAACAGACATCGGCAGCTATCGTCCAATCGGATTATTGTCTGTTTTTGGCAAGTTATTAGAAAAAATACTTGTCGATAGACTTACATTTGATTTGGAACAAAGACGATGTCTATTTGATAACCAGTATGGCTTTCGTAAACAAAAATCAACAATTGACGGGTAGTAGATCGCATCCATTATGGATAACCGACAAACAGGAATGAATCAGATCAAAATAGCCCAACTCAACACGAATCATTCTCCATCAGCGACAACAGCATTTATTGATTTTTGTAATAATATGCGATTGAGTAGTCGTATATGATAAATGTTATAACCATGATCGGAAACTGTTGCTAATTCATGAATATCGGAAATTACGTGTGTATTATCGGAAACGTTTTGATGAACTTAAAGAGAATCATTTACGAAAAGAAATTTTTGGTGAAAACGATACCGATCATTACCAACGAATGTGTCGACTTTTGAAAAATCACCAAATTGTGCCAGCATGAACATTTTCAAATAGTAGTGGTCCGCAAAATACTGTCGAAATATTGTTAAATGATTTATTCCCAGATGATACCTTATCAAGTGATACGGCACAACAAGCCAATATTCGAATGATGGTAAACAATTGGAAACAACAGCATGCTAATGTTAGGGGTAGCTTCAATCCGGTATCGACTTTGGAATTGCTGAACATTATCAACAAGACGAAAAATGATAAAGCTCCTGGATATGACAACTTTTCTCCCATCATTTGTAAAAAAGTAATGGCTGTAGTAAATTCAACTTAAGAAAACAAAAACAAAAACAAAGCAAAAATCTTTTGTTGAAAATATGTATGGTTTATTCAAAGGTGGTATCAACATTGAAAGACAAAAACAATAATTAATACAATACACACACGCACCCGAGCCACATCAAAAAACCGCGAAAACTAGCTGCGCTTGCTCAGGAAAGTTTTGTCTTCTAAGCAGGGCTCACTTCACGACAAATGGCCTTTTTCCCAGAAATTCTGGTTTTGATTATGAATGCGTGCCTCCGATTGTAATATTTCCCGTATATCTGGAAAATTTCCGTTGTAAAGATCATCCCAAAACCGGGCCGTCCAACTTATGATAAATCTAGCTGGACATAAAAAACGACAACCGTCACAGTCGAGATTAAAGTTCACTCGTCATTGTTATCACCATCATCATCATGTGCATAGTCATCATTGAGCATGTGCCTTCGCGCCCTTTTTTCTTGATCGCTGTTTGAGCAGGAGAGATCGATATCATCATCATCATGGCTTTTCATCATCACCATCAACATCGTAAATGAATTTGTTGATACTTTTCTTGGCATTGTGATTATCATCGTGATGTTGTTATGTTTAGGTTTTTTTATTAATTATTTATTTTCTTGTATTAAATTATACTCAATAAAATCAAAGTTTATTTCAAACCGGCCAGTGATAAGAAGTTTTTTGACTATAGCAGCTATAGACCAATTGGTCTTCTTCCGATCTTGGCCAAATGTTTGGAAGCGGTAATGGCTAATCGTATCAAAAGTCACCTGGATGCAAACTCCCCACTATCGATATACCAGTATGGATTCATGCAACGACGTTCAACTGAACACGCACTGCTGGAATTAAAATCAAAAATCGAATCCAATTTGAAAAATGAACAATTGGTTCAAGCATAAAATCCGTGATTCTCTTTATCTAATGAAAAGTATGTCGCAAACATACGAAATGTTTGAACACATTTAACCAATTTATTCAGTGGATTTCAATCATAATGGTCGATACATTTGTTCAAGTGGTAATGATCGCAAGGTTTTTTTAAATGGAAATTATTTTATTTCATCAAGAATGATGATCGGCAATGGCCA